TAATAGAAGTTCTGAAAACAAGTACAAGAAAGAGGTGTTCTAATAGACCCAGCAAAAATAAAAATTGGCCCAGGGACTTCTTCTTACACCTTGATATCCAATTTCTAGCCTCCCAATACGATTACAAAATAAGAAAGAAAAACAAAAACCCAAACTCCCCGGGGGCACCTCCCCAGTTCACTGTGGACTCCCCCAACACCACCACTCTCTCTCTTTCCCTCTCTCTCACCTGCCTCTAGGTTGACCTCCAGATCCCTGGCCACCATAGAGGCACTGGTCAGAGAGAGAGATAGGAGAAGATAAGATAAGAGAGTAGGCGGAGGAGGCCAGCAGTTGAAGGGAAGGGGAGAAGGGGTGCCAGATTTGAGGTTGGTTTTTCCTTTTTTTTTCTTTTTTAAATTTGAAGTTTCTAATTTAAAATTTTAGTGGGAGGGTAAAATTGAATTTCAAGGAGAAAAGAAAAGTTGGGTCAGTTTATATTAGATGCAAAATATAAAATAAATGCAAATGTTGTTAGTAAGGGAAATGTGCTCCTTTTCTAACAAGGCATCAGATATGTACTTATATTTTCAATTACCAGAAAGCTCAGTTTCTGAAACCTTTCATCAATTCCAGAAATTATGTGGAGGATCTTGGATTTTTGAATGCCATCCCTGTTCTCAACTGATAAATCACATTCGATCCCAGTTCCACAATCAATAAATTTGATAATTGGCACCCTAGCAGTCATAATTGCTTGCACACCAATGACATGCCCTTCCCCTACAGCATAAAAATACATAATTGACACGGGAATAGAATGTGATAATTAGCGTACTTAAGACATCAAAACTCAGAAATCACTTACACTTCTGATATTACAAAACGTGTTTACCCTAAGGTCCATATAACTGTAGCTGTCAGCCAAATATTTATACAAACAGAAACATCTCAAATACCCTCTCAAGAAGAAAAGAAAAATACTAAGATATGTAATAACTCTTGAACAGTTAGAAACATTACGTTTACAACACTATCAACAATCATATAGACATATGTAATTTACTAAAGGCGTTTATCTACTAATCAATTTAGCTTTAGAAATCATTTCCAATTGTTGATATTGCAAAACATCAAACTTATAGTAATTCAAACATAAAATGCATTTGCAAATTCTTATAGGATATATCACACCACCACAAATAAAATGACTCATGGAGTACAATCACATACATGCAATAGGGTGTCTATGTTGTGTGATACAAGGAGGAAAGCTAGTGAAAACCTAAGTTGAGGACTTAAATTGAGGGCCACATGCGGGCACACCCTGCAATGTGGTCTCATCATCGTTTTTGGTCAAAGCAACATCTCTGCCAAAACTAACCAATTGGAAACCATTAAGTTACTTGGTTGTGATCAAATGTATACGCGAGTAGAGTGTTCCAATAAACATTGAAATTATCATAATGGCAATCAAATGTGATGAGGACATCTTCGTCAAGCCTGTTAGGGTTTACAAACGAAAGAGATGGAAGAGGAAATTATTAATTAGTTTCCTAATTTATTTGTTAGTTTTCTAGGTTCTCTAAGTCTTCCATATTTCATTAGGATTTCTAGTTTTTCCAGATTTCCAAGTTTCCTGTTTTATTTGGATTAGGATTTCCTTCCTAGAATATGTTTAATTTGCCTTTTCACTCTAGGGTAAAATTATTATAAATACCCCTTCTATGTAATTCATGATGAAAGTTGAGTTATTGAGATATTGAGAAAAGTTTATTTTCCAGAGATTGGAGACTCCTTGGTGTGAAGCCAAAACCCCTGGAGTGATTCCAGACCTATCTTTATTTGTTCTATTTTCTGTTTTCCATTGTTTTTGCTTCCTCTAAACTACCTAAATCTACAATTAACCCGTGTCCTACATCAAAATGGCCAACAATTTTCAGTTTGGCGGATCTTTTTTCTAGGATGATACTTGAAGGGGCACCTAAAAAATTGCAGGGTGGAAGATTCAGACAATTCCTAATTGAGTTTCTCATTTATGGATCTCCTTTGCAAAAAAAAAAATTAATTGCCAAATTGGAATTCGTTTGACGAGCTAATTATGATCAACTAAAAAAGGTGAACATGGTGTTTACCATACCATTGAAATGGTAATGATGATAATCAATGGCTAAACCATGTCCAATTTGGCTAATATTAAAACACTCATTCTATCAGTGTTTTAATAACAATTAGAAAGAGATCTTACACACCCATTGGCATGGCCTCACTCACAAAGAAAATAAGTAGGAACAGACTCAGGTAAAACTCTGTGTGTGTGTGCGTGTGTGTGTGTTGATTCAAGAATACTGAAGTGTAGTTCGAGTGGAAACAGCACCAAAAGCAAAAGTGTAAGAACTACAACTTTATGTGATTCTACATTCAAGGTGTCTAATCATGAGACAGAAAGTAGTAGAAAATTTTAAACGTTCAAAAATTACTTTGAAGAGAGTAAAACTTTTTTGCAAACTTCCGTAGGATTTTGATCTTCATATCTCGAGGAAAAGTGCCTACAATGTTACCGAAATTAACAGATAGGTCTAGGTCACTTCCAATACTGAACATATCCATTACAAAAGAGCCAAATCCCTCCACAACAGGAGAATTGCCAGAATTTCCTGAAAGAAAAAGGTAAATAGTGCTGAATAACCAATGGTACACGAAAGGGAGTACAATTAAGAATAAAACTGAGATGGAATACGACATGGACCAAGAAAAAGTTAGAAAGTCCCTTAACAGAAATAACAAACGCAGGCTGACATGTTTAATGGAGCATAAATTGGGATGATTAGAGTGGAAATTTATTCAGTGAGACTAAACAGCTCAAGAAGAATAGTAAGAGTGCTTTTTAATTCCAATCTATTGTGGAATTGCGCTACCTTGACCTCTTTTTAGGTACTGTGGTGGGAAACAAATGGAATAAACAACTATGGGAGAGAAGAGGACATGACTTCATTTGGGATAAAATCGGATGTTTTCCTTCACTTTGGCCTTCCATACCTCATTATTGTAAGGATGGCCCCTTGGGTTGATAGTCTTGATCAGGTCTGGGGTTTTGTTGTTTTTTCTTTGCTGTTCTTGATATTCGGTTTTGTCTTTATCTCTCCCATCCTGTTTGTACTCTCTTTTTCTTTCTTTTATACATTCCTGTCTCTTATAAAATAAAATAAAAAGAACAGTAACCATGTAATAATTTCTATGCTTGCTGAATTTTATATATAATAAGAATGTGCTCCTATTGTCTAACCTTTCAATTAAGATTTGTCAGACTAAAATTATATTGGTGTTGGGACAATTTCAGTGCAACACTTTATGAGGGGAAAACTTAGTGTCTGGAATTGACACATGGAGATAATAGGTGATAAGCTGGGAAACTTAGAGCATGGAAATAAATGCTTCAAGTTTCCACTTAAGCCCCTCAAATCTGACAAATTTAGCATGAAATGGCAGCCAAGTTGTACGTCAATTGCTAAAGCAAGTTGTGTCACAAAAACTTTTGATAAGCTGCCACCAAAGCAAGCAAGTGGTGGCAATCAAGCATGATATTTCAAACCCACTTCCAGAGTCTACATATACTATACAAAAGACAACGTGCAACAATCTGGGGTATTGCAGAATCAGCATGCCTATCGTCGATGAATATATAGGTATCTGGCACCAAAGTGTAGATATTTTGGATTGTCCAGCCATTCAATCCTAATGTGGCAGTCCAACAAAATGGTATAGAGTAAATAAGTACCACAAAGTTTAAGACGAAAATGTATCTATCCCAACGAATTTGCATTAGGGGCACAACAAAAAGGGAAAAGTACAAGAAGAAGGCCAATCCAGGGACTTGAACAATTGAAAAATAATAACTATAATGAACTTAAGCTTGTGGGAAGAGAGTGGCATGAACAAAGATAAGAAAGAAAAGTTACCGTATAATTCTTTTGTGATTGCATTCAAAATACGAATCAAATCTCTTCGATTATGATAATCAATCGGCTTTGGACGGCGAATGGCATACGCATCATTAAGTAGTGTATCAAGCTTAGATATAAATACAGGGGTAATGGGGTATTTTTTTAATCCTTGTAACTCGAGCTTCTTTGCTTCATTTAGCAGCTCTGGAATCAAATTCAAAGTACTTGAATGAGTCACTAATTCCCACACAAAATAATGATAATAATCTTCTAAATGAAGCAAAGAAGCTCGAGTTACAACGATGCACCAACTATCCTATAAAATAGAGAAACAAAATGTGCATTTTCATAAAACTCTGCGTCCCTTGAAAAAGTTAAATACTGCACTCACCTGTTTGGCTTAATGCCATGGTTCCTGACTTCCTTCTGCAGTAAACGACTAGTTGATTATCGATCTAATTCAACTCTGCCAAAGCCCAAAATCAAACATAAATAAGAAAAGTTAAAAGATTATGAATACTGCATGTGTAAATGTAATTGTACGGAAAAACCCAAAAAAAAAAGGGTTGTGCAATTACTGAGGAACAAGAAATGGATAAAAACCTTGATTTGGAATTGTTCAACTCAGAACTGAAAAGCTTGTAGATGGTTGTTGTTCATTCATGCCTCTTTTGAGTACGCAGAGAGGCAAAAAGAGAGAGAGAGAGAGAGAGAGTCCTCCGCTTGATATTGGTTAGTGTTTACGGCTCCAGTCCAGGGCCAGGCAGCGCCAACAGCGAAGAAGCGGATTTTTATCTCCTCTCCACTGCTTTTGGTTTTGGGGATTTTTGTTTGGGTAAATTACTCAAATAATCCTCAAACTTGTACGCGATTTACATTTTGGTCCCTAAATTAAATTATTAATCCAAATGATACATAAACTCTATTTTAATCACCCATTTGATCCAACCGTTACATTTTCTGTTAGATGTAACCAAATTTTAGGAGCAAATACGACTTTTCATAATTAACAAATAAAATAAGGTTAAAATAAATACAAAATTAGAAAATAATTGAAGAAAAAGAGAAAAAATAATCATGAGACCCAAACCCATCCCTTCGATTTCTTCTCCCCCATTCCCCATAGACCTCTCCAATTACTGCGTTCCTCTTCCCTTCCTTGCTCGAGTACGTTTCTCACCTTTTTTTTTCTTATTCTGTTTGTTTCCCAAGAAACTCGTGTCTAATCTATTCGATTACTTGCACATGGAATTGAAATGGGTTGTGGGCATATGGTGTAGATTATTCAAACACAGCGTAAAGGAGCTTGATCTGAGAGGGGAGAGCTCTGCTGACGCCGAATGGATTGCATAAATAGGAGCCTTTCGTTACTTGCGATCTTTAAATCTTTCTGATTGCCATAGACTCACTACTTCTGCTCTTTGGCCTATTGCAGGTATTTCGATTTTGAAAACAGTTTGCTATTTTGTTTCATTTTCCAAGGTGGGGTTTTGATCATTTCTTGGTGCAATAACTTGGTTTGTGTGAAAAGCTGAAGCGGTATGTCTACTTGTTGCTGATGCTGAGGAGCGAGGACCCAAAGGAGGATGGAGAAGGTTGCTGAAGAGACGCAGAGGAAAAGGAAAGCTCCTGAGGAGGTGGGCAATGGCAAAAATGGTGGTGGAGCTTAAGAGGATCAACAAAGGCAAAAAAGAAGTAGGCAAAAAAGTGACTGGGTTCGTTGGGAGGGGGAGAGGGTCTGGGTGGTTGTTGAGTTGGGGTTCTGGATTCGTTGGGATGGGGTTTGTAGAAGATTTTTTTCTTTTCTTTTTCTGTAGTTGCTGGCTTGGGTGGAGGGTGAGGAGGAGCTGGGGTTTTGGGTTCATGGGGCCTGGGGTGGAGGGTGTTTGTTGGATGGGTTTGGGTGGAGAGTGGTTGTGGGATATGGGTTTGGGGGTTGGAGCTTGAGGGTGGTGGCCATGGGGGAATGGAGAGAGAGAGAGAGAGAGAGAGAGAGAGAGAGAGAGAGATTTTTAATCGCCCATTTGATCAATTTGCCCTCATATTTAAAAGCAACATTGATAGAATGTGACGATAAGATCAAATGGGCAATTAAAATGGAGTTTATGTACCATTTGGACTAATAATTTAATTTAGGGACCAAAATGTAAATCGCGTACAAGTTTGAGGATCATTTGAGTAATTTACCCATTTTCGTTTTTTGCTTTTCTGTCTACTCCTTGCTTGCTAGCCCTCTACATTTCTTTCTGTTAGGCCACGTGTGGACACCAAATTTATTTCTTAAAATCAATTGCATTTTAACACTACCAATTAGTTTCCGCATCGGGCCCAATATGTAATGTTAATATGCAATTGCAAGCTCCCTAAACCTTAAAAACTTCATTTTAAAAAAATTAAAAATCAGAAAAATATATCGAAAATTGCTACAAACTCTTTATGACATTATCTTTGATTATAAAGATCTAAAATCATGATTCCACATATTTGAGTTCATGACAATGGTTAAATTAAAGAACAAGAGTGTTATGTTATAGAACATAACTAGCAATGGCACTCGCACGATGCTGTAGGTTTTAAAACAGTGTGAAATGTGTACAAAGTCGTGAAAAAATGTAGGGAAAATGGTACTACTTATATAAACATGGAGATCTAAATGGTGGCATCATGCTTTCTTTAGCAAGCTTAAGTTACAAAAAATATGTTGAAATTTTAAAAGGTTTTAAAAATTTAACCTTTTTATTTATTTAATTATTTTAGATGTTTTATTTTATTTATTGTGGGGGTTATAAATATTTAATATTCAGGTTTTATTTTTGGTTGGTGAATGCCTTAATTTTTTGGTTGGTGAAGGTTACATGTTTTTGGATGCCTATAAAAGGCCACTCCTCCTTCACATTTGAAAAACACACACAATACACTATCAGAATATCACATACCACAATTCTGATTCTCTCATTTTCTACTTTTACATATATTCTCTATTTTATATTATTATTATTATTTTGGGCAATGGTTATATGACTTGGATACCTATATCCGTCTATGAACGTGCTCATAGCGGATCTTGAGTTTGTGTATAAGGGGTCGTATCTTGGAGTCTTGTAGATCGTCAGTACCTGCACATAGGAAGGCTACAAAGGCTTTAGGACAATGTCTTTGACGTGCTTCACCGTATCAAACTCACTTTCTTACTTATTATTTACTTTCCTTTTACTTACCTATTATTTTGTTTTCTTCAATTTCATTATACCTTCAAAGCTTTCCAATTTGTTTATATGTTATTTATAAAATAATGTTTTGTATTTGGCGTTAAGGAAAGAGGAAAACTATTATTTTTCACAACAAAATAGACTAATAACTTGTTTTATATGCTACTTGTCATGTTAAAATATTGACCATATTTTAATAAACCAAACGACAATCAAAATATTAGCAGTTTTGAGCTGCTCATTATTCAAAAGAGTTTGGACAGGTCTTTATATATATGCTACTATGGGGTGGAAGGAGGTTTTTTTGCCTTGATGCCTATTGGAAGGGGATCTTTCTCTTGCTGGCTATGTTGTAAAGGTGGCTTCTGTTCTTTCTTGTCCTTTGCAAGGGTTTTAACTCTGTTGGTACAAATTTGGAAAATGGCAGGTGTTAGTGTAGATAAATGGAAAATTTTGAGTGACGGCAATAACTATTATGACATAATTAAGTTCAAAAATCCAACAGGACAAACCATAGTTTAGATACATCTAGCATTTAGGAAATAGGGTTTTGGTCCGTTGTCGCAACCTTCTGTGTGGAGTTGGTTCTAGTTTGGCCACTGGGGTTTCTCATCGTCTGAGTGATGTGCTGGAGTTGGGTTTCTCATCATCTGCATGGTTTCCCATCGTTAAGTGGTGGTGTTGGTTCTGTTTTGGTTAACGGGGTTTGAGTTTTTGTCTCAGGGTTTGGTTTGGTCGCCTAGATTTGAGTTTCTTTCTCAAAGTCTTGGTTGTGGGCTACTTTTTCTGAAGCTAATGGATCCCATCAATGGGATTACACAGGGGCTTACCAGATCTCTTGTGATTTCAAATGTGGAGGCTATCGAAGTTGTTGGTCTTGATGATCTCGATGGCCTAAAAGCAACTCGCTTTCTCTTGGTGGGGCGATTGCTGACAACTAAAGACTATTACAAGGATTCCTTAGTGGGCACGCTGAAGCATATTTGGCATACACGGGAGGACTTCTATTCTATTACTTTGGAGGATTCTAAACGTCTTCTATTTTCTTTCAAGAGTGATCTTGATCATAAAAGGGTGATGAGGGGATCACCATGGACTTTTGATAAGGCTTTTATTGTTGGCAACTAATGGTAGCGTTGATCCCCATACTTTTCTGTTGGACTTACAAAATTTCTGGGTTAGGGGTATTCCACCTATTTTCCTTACTCCAGCAATGGGAGAAAAACTTGGGAATTTTCTGGGGACCTTTGCTATGGTAGATAAGGGACTTAATGGTGACTGTTTGGGGAGTTTCCTGCGTATCCGAGTGGGTTTAAAGGTGACGGAACCTTTAAAACATTGTGTTACTTTGAGACTTGTACCGGATGAACTTGCCAAACCCTATGAAGTAGAATATGAAAGAATTCATTTTTTCTGTTTATTTTGTGGTAGTTTGGATTACGTTGGGTCTGGGTGTGAATTCAAAAATTCAGGGGTTATTGAAAAAAAGCAATATTGGAGGTGGAAGACGTCGATAAAGGATGTCTTTCGTATTTGAGTTTGAAATAGTTTGACAGGAAGAAGCTTGGGTCTGTGTGAGGAGTTGCATAGTTAGGAGGTGGCTTCAGGGAGTCATGTTTCACCTGTAGAGATTGTTCATTCGCACCATGTGGCCTTCTCTTCTCAGAAGGATATCTCATTAGGTTCAGATGATACCCTACACAAAGTCTCTGAGGGGTCCCTCTCCAAGAAGAGAAGGTTGGCATCTGATTATGTTAGGGAAGTACCTCATTATGGAGAATTTGGTGTTAGTGATGTGCTTTGTGATGTTCCTATGATGATAAGTTTGGGATTGAGGCAAGGGAAGGAGATTCTAGGGGCCTAGACTAAAGAGGTGGTGCCGGATAACGTGCCAGATGAATGTACCGATACTACGCACAATGTGAACTCCCTTCCCCCTAATTGTCACGAAGGTTCTTCTTCATAAAAAAAAAAAAAAAAAAAAAAAAAAAAAAAAAGGGTGAGAGAGGGGGTACGTCCTGGAGCTTGTTCAAAAATGAACGGTGTGGGGGCAACGAGGTAATTCTGTTGTGGACGCTACAATAGCTGGTATGGCTAGCAAATCTGCGTGGGTCCCAAGGAATGGGCCCATCACGAGAAATGACGATCCTCTGTTGGAATGTGTGTGGTTAGGGCAATCCACTCACATTCCGCACTCTAAAGTTCTTCCTTATAGCTAAACAACCCCGCGTTATTTTTCTAATGGAGACTAAGAAAACGACGCGCCAAATAGAGGTAGTACAAAGACAGTTAGGAATGAAAGGGTGTTCTAGTCTGGATCGTGTTGGAATGTCTGGAGGTTTGGCAACACTTTGGTAGGACGAGGTTACTGTTTCCCTTCAGTCCTACTCAAAAGGTCATATTGATGTCTTCATTAAATGGGTGGAGCAAATAGGATTCAGGTTTACAGGAAACGAATATTCGAAAGCATTCTTGGGAGCTATTGCGCAGGTTGGGTGAAAATGGTAGTGGACTGTGGGTAATTGGTGGAGATTTTAATAAGATCCTCTAGGCAAGCAAATATTAGGGAAGAAGGTTTAAACCTATGCACAGATGCGTGAGTTTGGCGAGGCTCTTGATGATTATGGCTTAATGGTGATCAATTATACGGGGTACAAGTTTACATGGACAAATAGATGGCAATGTGAAGGGAATGTAAAGCTCTGGTTAGATAGGGTGGTGGCTAATGATGAGATGTTGTTGGCCTTTCCAGATATGCGTACTCATCATATTAATTCCTTTGTGTCTAACCATTTACCTACTTTACTTATCTTCGGAGTGAGTAATACAGGAAAGAGACATCATCATTTTATGTTTGAAGAGATGTGGATTACTATTGATGGTTGTCAGGAAACAATAACCCAGGCTTGGGGAAGTGAGGGTGGCACAGTGGTTGACAAGATTATGTCATGTTAGACTTCTCTACTATCTTGGAACATGAAAAAGGTTGGACTTTTTCCCAGGCAAATTCGAGGTGTGCAAGATAAGTTAAACGCCATACATGGTCGTGAATTGACCCCACATGCCGCCCAATATCAACGTCAGTTGACTAATGAGCTGGATGTTTTGCTAGAGCAAGAGGAAACTTTGTTGCGGCAACGGTCTCGTAGCGTGGTTAAAATTTGATGACAAGAATACCAACTTTTCTCATGCTCATGTGAAACTCAGGGGGTGCAAGAATTTTTTAAAAGGAGTGTTTGATTCAAACAATGTTTGGGTTTCTTCTAAAAATGCAGTGGGCTCAGTTTTTTGTAACTATTTTCAACAGCTTTTCTCTTCACATGGTGCCCAGAATGTCAACGGAATACCATATGTCATGGTTGGTTGTGTTTGCCTTTTATGCGGGTCAAGATTAAGAGAGCTTTGATCCAAATGTTTCCAACGAAATCCCTTGGTATGGATGGTTTACCAGCTCTTTTTTATCATAAATATTGGGATGTTGTTGGTATATGACACTTCCAAAATTTTCTCAAAATTGCTTGGGGCACTCTTTTCTTAGCTTCTTCCTTAATGGACGTAGATATAGGAAAGATGACCAGGATGATTAACTCAAGGGCAGGGACTATACGGATTGTTTACATCATAATCAATCGAGCATATCCAGCCTCAAAGCGACTAGTACCAAGCTAGACACGCCTTCTCCCCTGCCGAAGGAAGATACTCTTCCAAGGTGCGAGACACATGCTGAAGCTCCCGACTGCCAAAGCTCCCAACTACCGAACCTAATCTATAAGACACATGTCACCACCACGGCGACTTGCACAAAGTCCCACATCTAAACTTTGTGCAAACCTCCCACTTTCACCTCCCTATAAATAGGGAACAGTACCCAAGTAAAACGGGTAACTTCTCTCTCACTTTTACTGTTACTCTACCAATTTTACCACCCATAGCTGACTTAAGCATCGGAGAGCCTTCAGCCAGCACCACACCAGTATCCGAAGCTTAACGACTGCTTCTCCTACTTTGTCTTCTGCAGGCTCTTCCCTTGCTGAAGGTTCTCACCTTCTCCCTTGCTGAAGACTATCCACTTCTCTTTAAGTTAACCTTCCAAAAAGAGCATCAACAGTTTGGTGCCGTTTGTTGGAATCGACTTCTGAATCCCATTTTTCTCTACCAGCCCAGCTGGCTCCTTCTCCCATCAGGCCCCGTCGCCTCTTCTTCACCCCACACTCTGCTATGCCGACTAAGAATAGCCATGATACTCAACACCATACCCCCTGCGGGGGTACCTCCTGAAGGAAACCTTCAACAGATGCCAACCTCCATGCAGAGGTAGAGCTCCTTCGCTCCAGCGTTGCCAAGATGTCTGAGAAATACGAACATCGCCATACCAAAAACATCGAGCTAGAGCATGACTACCACACTCTGAAGCGTAACTGGGAGAGGACTCAGGCCCAGGGCTCCCAACATGACTTTACCCAGGATGTTGAGCATACCCAGCCAAACCAGCCTGTGCACTCCCGCCATAATGCCCCAGTCCAGTCTAGGCTCAGCAAGGGTAAAGGCCCCCTCCATCCGGAGATGACCAAGTCACGGCTCCTCCATATCTCCCCACCGAAGGACCGGCCCCATGAACCTGTCAAGATCTATAGAGATTGTAGGGACCGTCTCTTGGACCATCAGACAGACCCTATCCCTATTCCTGTTAATCTCAAGAACCCAACGGTGGCATACCTGGGCCTCCCACCGAAGCCAACCCACCTACCTACTGGAGAAGGTGCAGGGGACTCGGATAACTGGGAACATTACCATCCAGATGACTGGGAATCGTATCACACTAAGGCATTCAAAGAGTGGGAACCTTCCCCAGCCCCTGCTCATCCACACCCCAGGCCTTCAGCACCTGAGACCCTCTCTCATGCCGACTCACCCATGAGGCTTCTATTTGAGAAGGTCCAGTGCCTGGAGAATGAGCATCAACGCAGCCACCAGCCCCTCTAGGCGAAGCCACGACTTTACCGAATGTATCCTCAATTACCACCAGGAGAAGGACATTAAGCCACTCCATATCACCTTCTCACTGGCACGGAGAATCCTCTCACCCATATCCACTCCTTCCAGTCTGCCCTCAGATGCACTGGCCTTAGTGATGAAGGCATTTGCCTCCTCTTCCCTTCCACCCTCAGCGGTGCGGCCCTGAATAGGTTCTACAGGCTGAACCCTTGTATCATCAACTCATTTGATAGTCTGAAGCAGACCTTCCTGGACCACTTCATGATCCAGACTGATCGTCTGTACTCTGCAGACCACTTGTACATACTTCAGCAGGGTGAGGATGAACCCCTTCGGGAGTATGCAGCCCGCTTTAGCCACGAGTACTCTTGTTGCCCAGAGACTGACGATCGTTTTGCCTTCGGTGCTTTCAAGAGTGGCCTCTGCGAGTCCAACATCCGGTACCTAGTTCACAGCAACCCTTGGAACACATATGTGGAGCTAATGAAGCAGGTAGCCGTTCATGCCAAGGCCAAATATTTCCACTCCAAGCGTGGCCCAGCCATCTCTGCACGCAGCACCTTTGGTGATCCTCCACCTACTTCGGTACCTACCCCAGCCCCACCTCAGCGTTATATTCCCGCCATAGATAACCAAGGTACCCCGCACTCAAAAATGAAGGATAACTACCAGCATACCTTCAACAGTAGCAAGCGTGGCAAACATGGCAACCACCACCAGCCCAGCGGAAGCAATACTCCCAGGACAAGTGATCGTGCCCCATTTCCCTTCACACCCAAGCCTAGATTCAAGGTCTTCACCACCCTCAACACTACCTATGAGAATGTCCTAGTGCACGAGGCACCCATGATACCCAAGCCTCCCCCCAAGAGACCGTCCAATAAGCCTATGCCAAACACAGGTGTCTTCTGCCATTTCTATCAGTTCAACGACCACGACACCGAATCTTGTGTTGCCTTGCGCAACATCATTGAAGGGCTTATTCGTGAGGGGAAGCTGGATAAATATGTGCACAACCTCTCACCCCCACCTAACCCTCACCAAAGTCAGATCAACATGATCTCCATCATTAGTGGTGGTCCCACGCTGGCCGGAACCTCTAACAACTCCATTAAACATTATGTCCACTCCACCTATGCGCACCAGGTCTTCAGCACTGAGTAGGGATGCATGCCGAAGATGCACAAATCAGGCTAAGCCCCCATTACCTTATGTGAGGAGGAGGAGCGTGGTGTTATTCTCCTCTATGATAACCCACTCATTATCCGCGCAAACATTTCTAACTTAGACGTTAGGCGTATCTTGGTGGACACTGGCAGCTCGGTCAATGTAATGTTTGTTGATGCTTTCAACGAGCTCCAGGTCTCTACTCATGTGCTCGACCGAAGCATCATACCCCTTGTGAGCTTCTCTGGTGATGTTGTCTAGCCCATTGGAAGCATCCATCTCCCTATCTCTATTGGTTCGGCATCCTAGCGGGTGACGGTCACCATTCCCTTCCTCATTGTTGATTGCCCCACAGCCTACAACGTCATCCTTGAGCGCCCTACTTTGGCCCAAATGAAGGTTTTCATCTGTACACATATGCTGCTGCTGAAGTTCCTTATGCCTCATGGCACAAGCACGGTGCGCGGCGACCAACTTGGTGCCAGAAGCTGCTATGCTTTCGCAGTGAAATTCATCAATCGCCAACATAGGGGTGAGGCCCTAGCAGTAACCAAGGCTCCAGCCCTTCCTCGAGCTGTCACTGAACCACCTGAAGACCCCATGGATGAATCTGTCACCCAGCAGGCCGAGCCTGTGAAAGACCTTGAGCTAGTTACTCTCCATGAAGACATCTCGAATCAGCACCTCCCTCTCACAAGAGCTTCGCTTTGACCTCGTCGCCTTCCTCCGCCTCAACTCTGAGGTCTTCGCCTGGTCTTACAATGACATGACTGGCATATCACCAGACATCAAATCTGTCTGGCAGAAGCGTCGTGCTTATGACCCAGAGAAGTACGAGGTCATGAAGGCAGAGGTGGATAAGTTTAGCAACATCGAATTCATCAAAGAGGTGGACTATCCCACCTGGCTAGCCAATGTGGTGATGGTACGTAAACCAAAGAAAGGCTGGCGTATGTGTGTAGACTGTACCAACCTCAATCGGGCTTGTCCAAAGGATAGCTTCTCTTTACCACGAATTGACCAGCTTGTTGATGCCACAACTGGCCACGCCCTAGTTAGCTTCATGGATGCTTACTCCGGGTACAACTAAATCTTCATGCACCCTGATGACCAAGCCCATACATCCTTTATCACCGATCGTGGCCTCTACTGCTACAAGGTTATGCCATTCGGCCTCTAGAACGTCGGGGCTACTTATTAGCATCTTGTGAACAGCATCTTTGCCCCAATGATTGACAACACCATGGAGGTTTATGCCGATGATATGCTAGTCAAAAATCGCACTGCTGACCAGCACATCTCCAACCTATCTGCCATGTTCACTATCCTGAAGCAGTATGAAATGAGGCTCAACCTCACGAAGTATGCCTTCAGCATAGCTTCGGGGAAATTCCTTGACTTCATGATCAGCCAGCGGGGTATTGAAGCTAACCCAGAAAAGATTCAGGCCATTTTAGACATGAAGATACCCAAGCCGGTCAAGGACATCCAGAGCCTTACCGAACGCGTAGTAGCCCTAACCAGGTTTATCTCCAAGGCTACTGATTGCTGTGCCCCCTTCTTCAAGACACTTAAGGGCAACAAGCGAAACATCACCTGGATTGCAGAATGTGACAAGGCCTTTAACAAACTCAAGGAGTATATGAGCCGAGCCCCTTTATTGTCAACTCCTAAGCCTGGGGACATCCTCACGATGTACCTTTCCGTCTTGGCTACCGCAGTTAGCTCAGTGCTCATCCGCCCCCACGAAGATGCTGAACATTCGGTGCACTATGTTAGCAAGGGATTGCAAGATGTCGAGGTTCGATACCCAAACATCGAGAAGCTGGCCTTTGCTCTAGAAGTGTCAGCAAGGCGCCTCAGACCATACTTCCAAGCTTACACCATCCATGTCCTAACCAACCAACCACTAAGGTAGGTATTGCAAAAGCCAGAGACTTCTGGCAGGTTGGTTAAGTGGGCTATTGAGCTAGGTGAATTTGATATCCACTACAAACCTCACCCGGCTACAAAGGGCCAGGCTGTTGCTAACTTCATCTCGGAATTCACATAACCCCAAGCTTCGACCGTTCCCTAGATCATAACCGAACCGAATCTTCCCTCAAGCCAGGTCCACGTCGCTAGCAACGGCACCCTCGACCTGACCCAGCCCTTGTGGACCTTATATATGACAGGACCCGCCCCGAATTCCTAGGAACTCGAGATGAATCCTGTGGAATTCCCGACATCACCCCGATGTCGGGCTCACTTATGAAACTATATACTCTTTTGCCAAAAAATGAATAAGGGCACGAGACTTTCTACTGAAATTTTGGCAAAGTCTCCCCTGTAAATTGAACATTTTCCAAAAATTTCAACCCGCATAAAACACATCTAATATCACCAACCTGCAACATGTACAAGATAATTTCATGCACTTCACAAACTCGGCCTCCAGCCTTCAAATAATCCGTAACCAAACTGCCAACAAGGTCCTTAAGCCAAATAGTACCTTAAATAAGGCAACTATAAACTCAAACACCCTTATGAATGCCAAATGCAATTTCCATCATCTAACTTCCCAAATATCCAACATACGAAGTTTTAACCTTCTAACATGACTGCATCTCATTTTCACCTAAATTTCCAAACCAACGACAAGGTCCGAACTAATCTCAATAAAATAGCATGAGTAAAGTTTAGCCCGCGGTTGCACCTAGGCACTACCCTAGGCTGCCTATGTATCATTACTAAGGGATCAAGCCACACATAGTTCTTTCAACAGAAATCCCGATTCCAATAACATACAATCAATAACAGTAATACAAAACAACAGATTCTACAATTTATCCCTTTCCCTTTTCTTTAAATCACAACTTATCAAACACAATCCTTTTCAAACATTTTCTTTCCCAATATAATATAACAACCCTTAATTCATCTCCCTAATAATCACATAATCTCCCCATATGCCGGAAAATCCAACGCCACGTATGGAGTCTGTCAACACGCCGGAAAATCCTATGCCATGTGTGACCTAACAAGCATTTCACAATCTCCCCATACGCCGGAAAATCCAACCCCACGTATGGGGTCTGTCCACACGCTGGAAAATCCTACGCCACGTGGGACCTAGCAATCATATCACATAATCTCCCTATACGCCGGAAAATCTAACGCCACGTATGAGGTCTGTCAATACGCCGAAAAATCCTACGCCACGTATGACCTAACAATCATATCACAATCTCCCCATACATCAGGAAATCCAACGCCATGTATGGGGTATGTCCACACTCTAGAAAATCCTACTCCACGTGGGACCTAATAATCATATATAATTTCCAACAATAAATAATAATATTTATTTCCGATTTCCCCCAATTTAAAACAATAAACTAATATCCTAATCCCACATAATCAACATAACTCAACTAACGATCAAGACTCGTCAATAAGGTCATTTTAATCCTCATAGAAAGGTGAAACTACCTCGGGAGTCTCACAGTCAACCAAGGGTCAAACGGGCCCCCGGGGCCCACGACCTCTAAATTCCGATCCGAAGGTTCCTATAGGCTCTACAAGGTTTAGGATACACATCCTGCAAGTTTGGTCCGAATCGGACGGTTACTATAAACCTAGCCCTAGGTTTAACATTTTTGGAGTATCCGGGACTTCGTTTTACGATCCGTTGAATCCTACACGATCCTAAGAATGTCTAGATTAACATATTATAATTTCAAGACTATCCAACAGTTCAAACCTATCGAACTCGGATAATGCACAATATGCGATATCCGATCGACAATCAAACGATATCCGAATTGACATTCGAGCACAACTATGCACTTGTGAGGACCAAGAGATTATGTCGGGATGGAAAGCCCTTTTTCTACAGTGCCCACGAGCTGCCACACGTGCCGGCAGCGCTTGGGTGCCCAAAGCGATTGCACTTCGCAGTAAAATCTCAAAATCACTGCTCAAGACTCCTACTCTAGGTATAACACCCTATTTGGAACCACTTTCATTCCCCAAAAACCCGAACAAAAGTGGCCAGAATAGCGATCCCAAAATTGGCCGTAATCCAATTCGAAAATCAAGCTACGTAGGCTCAAAATTAATGAAATCCTACGCAACCATCAGCTAGAGCTTGAGGAATAGATGAATTTCCATACCTGGATCGCCAAAAATGGCAGCCAAACAACAGAGAATGAAGCCTGCAAAGATTGAGTGAAAAACTGGCCTTTTCACAGCTTGTTCCAGCGGCAACGGCGGCAGACCGAGGCGGCGAAGGGCTGGGGCTGGAAGAGGACGGTGACCCGGTCATTTTGGTACCGGCCCATCAAATTTGGTGGCCGGATGAGAGAACTGTCGTCGCAAGAGAGGAGAGAGAGAGAGAGAGAGAGAGAGAGAGGAGAGAGAGAGAGAGAGAGAGAGAGAGAGAGAGAGAGAAACAGATTTTTATCAAACCCTTTTCTTAATATTTACGATTTTGTCACTGAGGGTATTTTGATCATATCTTTTTCGTTACAACTCCGATTTGGGCCCACTACGTGTTTACAGACTCATCTCATCGTGCTCTACGCAACGGTATAGTTGAAATTCCCAAATTCCTTCCTGGTCAAAAAGTCAACTTTAATCCTAATAAAATATTATAGGGGCAAAATGGTCCTTTATCTGAATAAATTAATATTTACCAATTTATTTAGGACCGGGTCGTTACATATGTGGATGGCTCCTCCAATGCCCAGGGATGTGGGGTCGGCCACGTCCTTATCTCCCAAGACAAGGTTGTCCTTGAGTACGCCATCTGCTTCAAATTCCACGCCTCTAACAATGTCGCTGAGTATGAAGCACTCTTAGTTGGCCTTCGGCTAGCCAAATAGATGGGTGCTAAGAAAATCCAGATATTCAGGGCCTCCCAGCTTGTTGTTCATCAAGTCAATCTGGACTTCACTGCCAAGGACATCTCTATGACAGCTTACCTCCAACATACCCGCCATCTACTTACAACTTTCGATGCTTATCTCATAAACTAGGTGCCACGCTCTTAGAACAACCATGCTGATGCTCTGGCTACGTTAGCCTCCGCCATAGAGCAAGGCATCGGTCACAACATCCACATGGAGTTCCTGGAGCAACCCAGCACACAAGCACCAATCATATGTACCATTGATCACAACCCTGCATGGATGGACCCCAGTATTCAGTTCTTGCAGAATCAGACACTAGCTGATTTCGCTGAGGCACGGCGTGTTCGCTATCGCTCCGCTTGATACTTGATCATCAATGGTGCTTTATACAAGCGCGGCTTCAGCCTCTCTTACCTTCGGTGTCTGACTCTAGAGGAAGGTTATTATGTCATTCGAGAGATTCATGAGGGCATCTGCAGCAATCACACGGGCGGTCGCTCACTAGCACATAAGGCCATTCCTGGCCTTCACTTCATACTGATGCCCAGGCCTTCACCCAAAAATGCAATAACTGCCAGCAGTTTGCCAACATTCCACAACTTCCAGCTAAACCATTGACAGCCATAGTCAGTCCTTGGCCATTCGCCCAATGGGGACTTGACCTCATTGAACCTATGCTTGAGGGCAAGGGCCAAGTCAAGTATGTCGTTGTCACTGTGGACTACTTCACCAAGTAGGCTGAAGCTGAAGCCTTAGCCACCATCACTATAGCTCACATCGAAACATTCGTCTGGCAGAGTATCGTATGTCGCTTCAGCATCCACAACACCATCGTCACAGACAACGGCCGGCAATTTGACAATGCCAACTTCAAGCAATTTTGTTCCAACCTCAAGATACATCTTGCTTTGCCTCCCCAGCCCCTCCTCAGTCTAATGGTCAGGATGAAGCTATGAACAAGATCATCAAGAAGACTCTGAAGACCAAGCTTGACAAAGCCAAGGGTTGCTGGCCAGAGCTACTCCCAGAGGTTCTTTGGTCCTACTGCACCACCTTCCGTACCTCAACAGGAGAAACACCGTTCTCTATTTCCTTTGGTACCGAAGCCGTGACACCAGTGGAGATCGGCCAGCCCACATACCGAACCTGCACTTATGATGCCGAAGCCAATGACGAGCAGTTAGCCCTGAACCTCGACTTCATTAACGAGCTTCTTGATCAATCCAACATGCGCAACGTCGCATACAAACAACACATCGCTAAGTACTATGACTCCTGAGTCAAACCTCGTGCTTTCAAGATTGGGGACTGGGTCATGCACAAGGTTTCCTTGGCCACCAAGAACCCTACTGAAGATACCTTGGGCCCTACATGGGAAGGTCCTTATGAGATTACCAAAGTTTGCCGCCCTAACACTTATCAGCTTTGTGATCCCAAGGACAAGACTTTGCCTCATCCTTGGAATGCTAATCACCTCAAGTACTACTATAAGTAAACGTACCTAGACCCTAGAACATTATGTTTTCTTAGACTTTGGTCTTGAGTCTTGCCTCAACCATCTCTTATATCTTCTGCCTTTCGGCAGTTATCTAATGAAACGCCTGACCCTGGATACTTCCTATCAATCACATGATTATCATTTTGCTAGCACAACTGATATCAAATAACAACAAGTCTAAATATCATATCAAGTGGCAAAATGTTTATACAAAGCAAAAATAAACACCAAGTGTTCCAACAAAATAACTAGAATACATCAAGAAGGCAACGCCTTCAGGCCTCGGTTGAAGGGGCATCTGTGGTAGCCGGCTCTGGCTCTGAAGTGGCCTCGGTAGTAGGACTAGGTGAAGGAGGCTCGCCACTTGTATCAAAGTTAATATCAACCGAAGGGTTGAACCTCGCCAGCCTCTCCTCCCAACGCAGCTGTGCATCCCCCATCCGATCCATGATGTAACTCCGCAGCTCCTCTGAACTCCGAAACAACTTGATCGCTTCGCTCAGGCAGCAGCTATCTCTTCGGCCTTCTTCTGCTCCACTTCGGCCCTGGCAACAGCTACCTCCTCTACCCTCGACCGCTTCAGCTCCTTCTCCTCTCTGGCCAACGCCGCCTTTTGCAACAGCAGGGTGATCTTCTCTCGGATGGCTTCTTGCGCCTCCGCTATCTTATCCTTGGCCATCTCATTGCGCCTCTTTAATCTCCGAATTTCCTTATATGCCTTGGCCATGTTGACATACATCTCACCAAAGGCCTGCAACACAAAGCGTCATTAGTCAGAAGCAAACTAGAATGATAAGAACAAATTCACAAAGCAAGACAACTTACATAGGCATGGGTAAGGAACGTCTTCTGGGCCCGATCTGCATACGAAGAGGCTGGTGTCATCGCCAGAACCTCAGGGTCACTCTTCACGCCTTCTAGGAAGACGTTCACCAAGGGAACCTCTTGCCGATGCATGGCAAGGTTCACCTCCTTCTTCTGCCAATGCAACATGGAGAAGTCCACCTTCTCCATCCCCTCAGCATAAACATCCTCCATACCGAAGGGGAGCTTCAACGGCGCCTGCAGGTCAAATGGAGGAAGCCTCGGCCCTGTTCCCATCACACTCTGGTGAGCTTCCTCCAACGTTCTCTTCTTTCCCAGCACATCGGCAACCAGCCATTCATCGTCATCTCTAGGACGCTTACCAGTCGCCTACTTGGCACCCCCTTCTTAGCCTTCTTCGGCCGAGACTCCCTAAGTCGCCTCTGCATCTCGGTATCATCCAAATACACAGCCACCTTCGTGCTTCCCTTTATAATACCTACCACTGCACTTGAAAAACTAAGTTAGTCACAACTACAAAAGGGAATCAAAAGACAAACAACAAAGGTGACCCAAGTACTTACTTCCTTTTAAAAGGCTAGACTCAAACAGATTCTTCTGGGTGACTAGGTTTCTGTAATCACGCTCGGTCTCTGACAACAATGACCTCACCCTCTCAACCTTGTCTTCTTGCTCCTCGGAGATCGGCCCCCACTTCACCGAACTTGCACCAAAGGTTAGATACTACTCAGCCATTAACACTTGCATAAGCAAAAGTGGAGAACCAAGAGTCAAAGCAAGTAAAAAACACTACAAAACAATAATTAGTCTTAAAGGATGAGGCCAAGGACCTATAGACTGGAAGTGGGTAGGAATGTGTTTGGAGACGGTCTTCCCTGGCAGACACTCCTAATCACCATAAGCCAGGCACTACCTGTTCCTCCAAGACTTCTGAGTAGAAGCTTGTGACCAATAAAGTAACCCCTCTCCTTTGCCTTTCGGCAATTGGCTTGTACCCAGCCAAAGCTTGCATGTTGCTTCGAAATCGAGTACAAGTACATGAATTGCTCAAAGGTTGGCTCCTCCAACCCAGCCAACCACTAAGCAATGTAAACCTCATGCAGAAGAATCCAAAAGTTTGGATTATATTGCCTCGGCACATATCCCAGCTTGGCCAACATTATCTGTACCCAAGGATGAAACAGTAGTCTGAAACCATGCTGGTACATATCGGTAAATATCAACACGCATCCCTCTGGAGGATATCTAACCACATCAGCAGCACCGGGTAACCTCAAGCCCACCGAAGGAGGAACACTAAACTTTGTCCGAAGCTCTACTAGCTTCACCTTTGTAAGTATATTGCGCCTAGATAAAGGGACACCAACCCGTATATCCACTCCCTCTGAAGCTGAAGCCACGGTTATACCTACAGACCCTGAAGGTGATGCTTGATTGCTTGAGCCCATCTTTGGTGTATGAGGCAAGGCCAGAACCTGATCAGCCACAACCTCTAACACTTTGTAATTCCTCTGCATCTCTCTATACTCGGCCTTCCGAGAATCTACTAATGGCTCACCTCTCTCACCCTCAGGCACTACCATCCTACTTTCTATCATACCTTCTACCACACCCTCTGTCTGGGAACTCTCATCTTCAGAACAAACATATTGACTGGGCTCTTCACTCTCAGTATCTTCCCCACCAAAGGTAGGGGGTCATGACTTACTCTATCAGAATTTTTAGACATCTACAATATGCAGAAACAAGGAAAAGGAACTAATGCACATGCAAGAAGGATCGAAAACACAAGAACACAAAAAGGATAGCACACATACATGCTCTTTAATCTACAAGCATACATTGAACATGTTCATATCAATATTCAAGGTGTTCATCAGGTTCATTCTCATATTCAAGGTATTCATCCTAGTCTTCAACATGTTCATGCAAAAAAGGACATTTCAATTCAAAAGTTCAAGAGAGATGAGGTCTAACCTTGTTTGCACCACCACGAATGAGACGCCAGAAATCACCTTGGCCACAAGCACCACCACCAAAATCTCGTCGAAAATCTCCTTTTCTCCTTCTCGCTTTCTTGAAATCTTTCTCAAAGACTGAAGTGTGATGCCTTCGTCACCCCACGTCCCTATTTATAAAGCCTCAAGGGTAACGCCTCAGTTCACGAGAAAAGCCTAGCACTCTTTCAGCTTCCCTCCCAAATTCCTTGTACCTGCAACAATTTGAAACTCAAATTTCAAATTTAAAAGAAAAAAAATAAACGAGAAAAGAATCAAAAAGGCCTTGCCGAACAGCAGGCACCGTGGAGAAACAATAGGGGGGACTCGCAAAAAGTCTTACCAAAATCCAATAGCCTAGCTCCACAGCCTCTTCCGAAGTCAATTGTTCACACCCAAGCCCCAGCAGCCTCAGTACTCTCGACACGGAAAGGCCCAGCTAGAGCCCTCTATGCTGAAGCAAGATCAGCTCCAAGAAGCCCCCTAATGGCTAACTTTTGCCTAGGCCCGAGCCCAGCTTCAATTTAGAAGCCCAACGTCCAATCTAATGTTTTGAGACCGTGCCAAAGACAAAACAAGGAACCATCGGTTAGGACTGAAATTGCCAATGGCGAGTAATATTCACACCGGCCTTGCCAAACGGCAAGGCCCATGCGGAAGGTAGCACAAGCTTACGAAATGAAGGCTCCTGTTTTCTTGCTTTATGGGCCCAGCCCAAAATCACCAAACCAACTGCTACTACTGATCAAGACACCCTAAGGGTTGTGCAGGGGCTAAGAAGGTGCTCAGACCCGAGCCTTCACCATGACTAACCTTCAAGCTGTACCTACCGATCCAGAACAGGACCCAAAACTTCTCAACCCACCCTTATCGAATGGCAAGGGTTGAGCAGAAGCAATCGCGGCCTCATAAAACCATACTTGGTTCGAGCTGCCCTTGCCGAACCAGTGCTGTCGGGATCCCTCCTAGTTGATCGAGACGACGGCCTAACCCACGAAACTTCTTCTATCACCCTTTCCGAACAGCAAGGGCAGTGCAGCAAGTGGACAACCCACGAAACTTTTTTTCCTTGACGAAACCACCACAGCTTGATTGTGTGCTCTACCACAATTTCCTTAACCCACCCTTGCCGATCGGTAGGGTTTGTTAAACAAGGGGACTTGCCGATACCTCAAATACCCAAACACCCTTGCCGATACCTCAAATCCCCAACACACCCTTGCCGAATGGTAAGGGCTATGCAAAAGGCGGATATACCAGAAAATGGAGTCACGATCCTCACTCCTTGCTGAAGCACGTTCAGCTCCAAGCAGCCCATAGTAGCATTGAAAATCTTAAGTCAGCTCTGCCGTTCGGCAGGGACTATGTTGCTGCAATGAAAAGGTATACTCGAGAAAATCCCTTAATCCTATGTTACCGAAGGCCCAGCACTAGCATCTCCATGCCTTGCCTAAGGATTAACGAGGCCAACCTACAGATCCAGCTCTATCTTCCTAGCTCCCCCAAATTCTCGAGCAAGCCCTGCCTTTTTCAAAACTAACCTTGCTGAAGCTTGGGACACGTACGGCTCCAAGTCAAGCTTCGCAATCTCCACTCTTGTCGACCCAGACCACCTGATCGCAAGATGCCTCCAAATCTTCACCAAGTCACACCCTTGCCGAATAGAAAGGTTCATAAGGTGGAATTTATCCTTTTCACTTTCCACAACCCTAGCCCTTATCCCTCTACTTTTTGAAACCTGTCGAAGGCCCAAGAGGAGCAAGCCCATTTTGAAGGCCCAGCACCTGCCAAGGCTTAGAAACCAGAGCCTCTTTGCCGAAAGTAAATCCCAAACCCAAACCCATGGTTCTCAACCCCTTGCCGATTTCATAAGGGCTCACATGCAAAATTCAGCTCACCAAAGGTTTTTAAACCAAAAAAAAAAAAAAAAAAAAAAAAAAAACAACACGAGGCAAAAATAGCCATGTCGAACGGCAAGGCATTTGCTTTGGCTAAGACCCCACATCAAGGCTCTTACAATTCTCCTACCAAAGACCTAGAAGAAGAATCACACTTCCTTGCCAAAGCACTAGAAAACCAATTTCAAGGGCCCAGTCCTCAACCTTCTCCTTGCTGAAAGCCCAGGTACCCAGCTACCAACAAGTCTAGAGGCTCACACAGCTTTTGTCATACCTTCCAAGTGTTGACACAATTTCTAGCTTGCCAACTTGGGGGACTAAGGAATGCCCTATGGTTCCTGCTGAAGCTGGAATGCTCGGTCACGATTACACAAAAATCTAACAAGTTCCCAACCCAGAAGTTACTTCTCGACCGCGAACTTGGGGGACTATTGTTTATACCATAATCAACCGAGCATATCCAGCCTCAAAGCGACTAGTACCAAGGCAGACACGTCTTCTCCCTTACCGAATTAAGAAACTCTTCCAAGGTGCCAGACACCTGCTGAAGCTCCCAACTGCCGAACCTAATCTCCAAGACACGTGTCACCACCACGGTGACTTGTAGAAAGTCCCACATTGAAACTTTGTGCAAACATCCCACTTTCACCTCCCTATAAATAGGGAATAGTACCCAAGTAGAAAGAGTAACTTCTCTTTCACTTTTACTGTTACTCTGCCAATTTAATCACTCATAGCTGACTTAAGCATCGGAGAGCCTTTGGCCAGCACCACACCGATGTCCGAAGCTTAACGACTGCTTCTCCTACTTTGTCTGCTGCAGGCTCTTCCCTTGCTGAAGGTCCTCACCTTCTCCCTTACTGAAGACTATCCACTTCTCTCTAAGTTGACCTCCCAAAAATAACATAAACACAGATTACTAATTTCAAGGCAAGGGTCACCCTCCTTTTCTTGGACTCTTTGGATGGAAAGTTGCATTTGGGCAGGTGGAATTCAACAACAATAATTTGAATGGGAATTGAAATGGATTAAATAGAAAAGAACTAAATTATATTAAGTAATTAAAACAATAAGTAATTATGTTAATTTATATTTTGAGAAACAGCTCGCAAGTATTACTATTAGTAAGAAAATTCCTGTATTCACCTATCGTGGATGAAAGTGGTCAAGAAGAATTGGAGTGGCTGGGCGAGGAACGGAGCTATTTTCGTTGCTTTGAATTTAATTTATGTTTCTTCATCGTTTCAAAATTTAGGTGCTTCTATTTTCATGCTTCGTTTTCTGGTCTTGATTGGATTAGTTTCATATGACTCGCTCTCTTGAACCAACAGGAATAGGTGTTGCCTTTTGGAAATCCCTCTGAAATTTTATTTTCATCTTTGATTTGGAAGATCATTGCAGGAGCAACTGCATGTTTTTGTTGTTTACTTATTTATTTATTTATGGTTGTGCTTCTGTCTATGCATTGTATTTATCTATCTGCTGATGAAACGACCATGGTTTGATGATCCGAGAAAGTATTCATTTTGTTGTGTATAATAATTCTAATAAAACTAATTGTCTGATTGAGCTTTGATAATTTGTGTGTTGTGATTTCAGTTTTCTTGGTGAAAGTCCATAATGGATTTGGAGGCCCAACCAAATTAACAAGTTCAGCAGTGCAAAACTGGTTCTTCCCATCTTTTAGTATTCATTCAGTAAAATGATTTCTGTTTGTAGATATGGCTTTAGAAATAGTCACATGAACAGAAACTTCAGTAGGCTCTGTTATGAACATTTGTTTCATCAATACTTGTCTAACCCGCAAAGGATGGCTGTTCTTTCATATAGTTTGAATCCAATTAATAGCACTTTGAGGCCTATACAGTATTTGACTCAAACCCAAATTGACCCAGTTCCCAAAATTGCTTCAAATGGATTTCTTGGTATATACGAGCTGTTTTTGTTGTATTACTTTTACTCAACCAAGCCCTCATCGTGATCTTTTAGAAGGAGAGAAAGTAAGAGAGTCAAATCCAGTAAATCAACTCTTGATGAAGTCCAATTTCAAAGGGCCATATCCCAGTTGTTGCCTAGATTTACACCTAAAGAACTTTGCAATGTTATAACTCAGTAAGACGATCCTATTGTGTGTTTAGAGTTGTTCAATTGGGCATCGCAACAGCCACGGTTCAAACGTGATGTTTCTACTTATCCCATTACAGTAAAGAAACTTGGGGTAGCTAAAATGTATGAAGAAATGGATGATGTTGTCAATCAAGTGCTTGCTATTTCCTACATTGGTTCTGAGGCACTTTACAATTCCATTATCTATTTTTTCAAGGAAGCTCGGAAGTTGACTAGAGCTGTCAATATATTTGAACACATGCAGAATAGCAGAAACTTGAATTGTAGGCCTTCAATTAGGACGTATAATATTATTTTTACGGCCTTTTTGAGTAGGGGATCTAATACTTACATAAATCACATGTATATGGAGACCATTAGGTCCCTGTTTAGGCAAATGGTGGATCATGGGATTGAACCTGATATTTACTCTTTGAATTATGTGATTAAGGGGTATGTACTTTCCCTTCATGTCAATGATGCACTCAGAATATTCCATCAGATGGGTGTGGTCTATAATTGCTTGCCCAACTCATTTTCGTATGATTATCTCATCCATGGTTTATGTTCCCAAGGCCAAACAAACAATGCTAAGTAGCTGTGCAATGAAATGAAGAGTAAAGGGTTTATCCCAAGTAGTACATCATACAACTCGCTTGTGAACGCTTTGGCTCTTAATGGAGAGGTTGAGGAGGCACTGAAGTATTTGTGGGAGATGATTGAGAAGCAAAGATCAGCTGAATTCATTACTTATGGGACAGTGCTTGATGAAATCTGCAGACAAGGAAAGGTTGGAGAGGCAATGAGGTTGTTGAAGGAGTTCCTAGAGATAGACCTTCTGAATGGGCATACTTACAGGAAGCTTCTATATGTGCTTGAAGATGACTATGGAGATTCGAGTGCCCACTCTCAATTCAGGTAGTGTCATTGATCGTCTGTGAGCACATCTTCTGATTACTTTGATGTTATCTTCCATAAATCTACCGGACTGCCGGTATTGTTAGTGTGGGATAGTGCCTAAATTAGAGCCTATATGTGGTTGGCAGCTGGTGTATGGCAAAATTTTCTGAATAGGTTGTTGATAAGTGGATATGGTAAATTGGATATGAAGAGGCAATAGTATACATTTGAATTCTTTTATATACCTGTCATATCAGTTACTTGTAGCCTATTTGGCTATAAGATTTACACAATCTTTATAACATGGGTTTGGACGAAGCTTTTATATACCTATCCTATCAGTAACTTGTAATAAGTTTTATCTATTGGAATAGTTTGGGTCTCCACCTGTTTGAATTGGGAAGTATGTTATCTTGGAGTGATAGTTATTAGTTTGCAGCTTACTCAATTTGCTTAATTGGATGTGAATAAACTCTGATCCAGGGTTTCCTTCATTGTTGCAGATAAACTAAGTTCTAAAAGTTGCTCTTCTTTTACTGTTGAAGTCAAGCCATTGCATTGCTACATAGAGTTTGACGATCACGAAATATGTTGCCATTTGGTTGAAAATCAGTTTAGGCAATAATAACATTTTAGCTCACCTCAAACAGTGCCATTAAGAAATCAGCACACCACTCTACGAGAGCTTGCTGCCAAGTATGTATCACCGGCATCTCTTCCATTGGCACGTGCTCTCGTGGCATCCTCCTCCTCGTCCAGGATAAATCCAAGTGATCTGGAAGATTCTTTACTTCAATTGGTCCAAGAGCACCACCATGCCTCCCTCAGAATCCACAAACTCACTGGTTAGTCTCCCCAACATTTGATCTTGGGTTTTTTTCTTTATGTTGAAAAAATTCTTAACTTTTGTAATGAATTAGTTACTAATTAATTAAGAGTAATGTAAGTGATTGTGGCAGAGAAGGCACAGAATGAAGCCACTAAAAAGGCAGTGTGTGTGGCAGAGCTTCTGGTTGGAAGCAGTAAACGGTGGGGTGAAAGAGTTGTTTATAAACGAGAAACGAATTGAGCTTGAAATATGGGCATTGACTGCCACCATTTCCTCCTTCATCAAACAGACTGATCGGTGACTCTCACTCACTCGTTATATTAACACTGGCATTAAGGTTTGTTTAACTTTAAAAAATAAAAAAGAATAATTAGCCTTTGAGAAATGTGGACTAGAGTCCCAATAGAATCCAGCTTGTACATAACTTTCCAAAATATGCTTGTATATGTTGTTTTGATTCTAATGTTTACAAGAGTGGGATGTGGTTGTAGTTTGACTCTTTTGTTGTGTCGAAGGAAATCGGAGACTTTGAGACCTGGATGAAGATAATGGAATTTTATTCTAAAAACATCAATGCAGCTATCCACAATATTCACCAAGCATGATCTCATAGGTCACATCAAGTTGTTTCACCAGACACCGTTCTATTTTTCATTTCTCTGTGAAGTACCTTAATCATGGAGTAACTTAGTACTGCACTACATAGGCTTTCTTCTCCCCTGCCCCTATTAATGTCCAAATTTGTTTTACGGACACTTTGCACCACTGGCGGATCCAGGATTTTTTTAGCGGAAGTGCAATTTTGAAAGGCTAAAAACTCTTTCTGGATTGAACATCTAAGGCTTTTTACCTAGATTGACCTTAGGTCCCTTCATGCATTCATATCATACATGAAAAATTGTTATATGTAAAAATATTGACTAAGTATGAAAAATGGTTTTTCGGAATAATCATTTTCTCAAGATAATTTTTTGGCGGCTTTTATTCCTTACACATTAAATAAGAAAACTTGATTTTATGGGATTTTATTATGAAGTATATATATTGACTTAATGAGCTATCATTTTTAGCCTAAATCGTATTTTGCACTAAAATCGATTTTTCAAATTTTGATTTGGGGGGAAATTTGATTTTCTAGTATTTTTATTTGAATCCAATTGGGGGGTACTTCCTTATTTACATTGTAAACTCAAGTAAATGGAGTAATATAAAAGACAAAGACATTTACTTAAGATAGAAATAAGGTAATCTATACACCACCACCAGCTGAGCAAATGGGCAATTTCAAACACATACAATGGTTTTTCTGGCGAGGGGAGGTGCAATTGCACCTCCTTGCTCCTTAATAGATCCGCCAGTGCTCTGCACTTTACCTTCACCAAGAGCTCTACAACCAAGGGAAAAGGAAAGGGAGGGTTTAGTAATGAGGGAGGCACTACTTGTTTTCGAGTTTTTATACTAATTTGTTGGACGTTGTCTTGTGGAGTCTCCACATGTTTACCTGTTGTTTTGAGTGAGTTTCCCTACAAACATGAGAAGGATTTTTTTGAAAAAAAGAAAAAAAAAGAAAAAAAAGAAGAAGAGATAAAGCAGTTAAAACTACATGGCGAAAAATCCTTCTCATGCTTTATCTCATGAACAAGTTACTTGGAATACCATATCGAAAAATCAACTAGGAATTGATGTGGTTTGATCTTGTAAAAAATTTATCTTGCAAAGTTAGATTTTCGCATAGCCAAATAAAAATAGCACAAAGTCAAATGGAAAGTAAAGCCATCTCCTTGGCATTGCCATCTTGGCTCCTTGAGAAATATTCTTCTTAAACAAGTCACTCCATATAATCCCGAAAAAAGAAAGAAAGAAAATTGATCAAAGCATATCATTAAACTTCGCAGACTCTAGCGTCCACAATCTAGGATTGCGGGACAACAACAACGACTATACAAACACACGAAGAAAGATCATACATATATGAAAATGTAGAAAAAGAGGAGAGATTTTTTATTTGCACTTGACAAGCACACACGTTCAAGGATTGGAAAGCGTAGAACACGTTAAAAGTTTATAGAGTTGACATAAGATTTGTTAGGGCCTTTTGTATTTATACTTATCACTTTAATTTCTAACGAAATCGGGCACCTCATTAATTCCTTCAAAATAAATTCCTTTTTGAATACACCTAAATTTTATTTGACTTTTAAAAAGTCAAAATTGAAACGCGAAATAGCAATAGAGCTTTTCCAGACATTTGTAATTCGCGGTTTAATTAGACAACATTTTGCTTCGAATATAGGAGTTGCTAAGAGTAAAATTCGGGAAAAAGAGCCGGTTGTATGGGAAATACTTCATGAAGTTATGCAAGGGCATCCCGTATTGCTGAATAGGGCGCCTACTCTGCATAGATTAGGCATACAGGCGTTCCAACCCATTTTAGTAGAAGTTTCGATATATTTTTTTTAATGTCAATTGAAATTTGAATTGAATACACCCAAATTTTTACAAACTTTTTAAAAATCTGAATTGAATACACCCGAACTTTTAAACTCTTTTAAAATCTTAATTGAATGTGGCACAAGTAATCCCAACATAAAATTTGAAAATTGAATGGCTATTAAATATTTTATTTAACAATTCATCAGCAGTATTCTCTTCTTCATGATCTTCTTTACTTAAAAGCAAAAATAAATAAATTAATAAATTAATAAAATTAATGAAAGGATAGGATGGTCATTCAACGGAAAAAGAATGCTTGTGCAAGGCGACACTATGTCTAAGGACCGGCGATTATTCCCCCAGGCCTCTCTTTCTCGGTATCCTCCCCTCCATCTCACTCTTCAGACTCAAGTCGTCGGCGAAAGGCCCCCCCATATTTTCTTCACTTTGAATTTCTTGAGGTTCGTATCTCTGTCCTCCTGTTATTGCTTTAAGCCTTTGTACCCGTTTGAATGTTTGTGTCTTTAAAGTTTGCTTTTGTTATTTGTTTAATTTAAGTTAATTGATGAACTGGGTTTTGTTCAAAGATGAGTTTTAGATCTGGTTTTCTTGTAGAAATTGCATGTGGGTTTTAGTTGTTCTGTTGATGAGTATTATTGTTTGCTGGTCGAATACAATCTTGTATGTGCTACAGGAAGACCTGATCTGATTGGTGCTTCTTGACATTTGTTTATGGTGTTTCTTTTCAAATGTTTGTGTATTGTTAGGCTTCATTATCTAGTTTGTGGATTTTATCAGTTCTATCTGACTCGATCCCTTGAAGCAAAATTAATAGGTGTTGCTTTCCATAATTGTTACTTTGATTTTGAATTTGTGATTTTTTTGAGCAGTTAATGGAGTCGAACCAAGCCAAACCCGGCCTGCTGTGCAACCCTGAAGCCTCTCAGAGAACCCTGTATTCTATTCTCACACTTCTTGTTTTTCTCATTTTTAATGTTAAATGTATGATGCGTATTTTTGGTATGTGTAGACCTTATGGTTTTGGGGATTTTGCTTTGTATATGACATTTCAATCCTTTAATTTTTTTAAATAAAAAAAAATATTTTTTGAAGGTACCCATATGTAACTGGTACATCTGTGGTGGCTCTGAAATACAAAGATGGAATTTTGATGGCTGCTGATATGGGAGGTTAGCTGCCAATCCAATTTAGATTGTGTTTCAATTTTTAATTATTTTTTGACACAAAGGTTAAAGTCCATCGTTTTATGAACAATGCTCATCATCTCTTCTTTTGGAGTTTCAATACTGTTTATGTTGCAAAATTTAGACACCCATGTATGTTCCTTTTCATGTTTCTGTTTAGTTTTGTAACAATATGAAATGATGCATTTACTAATAGGTTCTTATGGGTCTACCCTGCGATACAAGAGTGTGGAACGAATGAAGCCTATTGGAAAGCATTCTCTTCTTGGTGCAAGTGGAGAAATAAGTGACTTTCAAGAGCTGTTACGTTATCTTGATGAGCTCATGTAAGCATTGTTTTGAAGAAAAATTATGTTGAAGATACCTTCCCTAATGCTTTCGTTGTGATTTTTGCTATGCTTCTTGGTATTATTTGCAACTTGAGCTCAAAAGACTATTCATTTTTTGTTTTATGGTTGTAGCCTATATGACAACATGTGGGATGATGGCAACTCTTTGGGACCTAAAGAGGTCCACAACTATTTGACCCGGGTGATGTACAATAGGCGTAACAAGTTCAATCCACTGTGGAACTCTCTTGTCCTTGGTGGAGTGAAAAAAGGACAGAAGTACCTTGGTATGGTAGGCCTCATATAATCCTTCCCTTAACACGTAGCATGCTGTGTGCAATTAGGAAAGCTGATTATTTATTTATTTATTCAAGAATAAAGTTTCTGAATGTGCTGACTTAGTTACTTGTCATTTTCTTTTATCCCTATCCAGGTTAGCATGATAGGTGTAAATTTTGAGGACAATCATGTAGCTACAGGATTTGGAAATCACCTTGCACGGCCTATTCTTCGTGATGAATGGCATGAGAACTTGACTTTTGAAGAGGGTGTAAAGCTACTAGAGAAATGCATGCGTGTCCTCCTCTATCGTGATCGGTCTGCTGTCAACAAGCTTCAGGTATAGTAATTAATTAATGTTATTTACTCTATCTTACAGTGCTATAAGCTATCAATTCCATAATATTAAGGCTTTTAAGAAACGATGATTTGACTAGCAATTACTGAGGGCCTTCTCATCTATCTATCTATTATTTATTTTTATTTTTTTGACCTGCCATATAATTCACCTATCTGTTGTCTTTAATTGGCTTCAACATTTATAAACCTTTTTAAATATGAAACCTGGTAAACCTTTTTTAATATATTTGAAGTGTTTTGTTTTTCTATTGTTGTAAATTCTCTCTCTCTCTCTCTCTCTCTCTCTCTCTCTCTTACACGTTCAAATAGGTTTTCACTAAACTTTTGTCACTCTTTATATTACTAGTCTGTCATGTAAGAAACTCTCATGTGCCTAGTAAGTGTTGTAATTCCCTTTCACTGGTGAAGTGCTAGTTATTTACTGGACTATTAATTGGGCTTTAGCTCCGGAAAGTGTTTAAAGTGGAGACAGAGGAAAGGAAAGGAAAAGTATTATGCTAATGAACGTGGTTACATGGTTTTGATTTCAATTTTCTGTCGGAATATTTTCCTATTTCTACCCAACAAGTTTTCTAACATCTGTTCTGTATATATTTTATGCAAATCAGAAATCACATTGTATAATGAGTTGCTTGGTAGAATTTACTTATCGTTTCTATTTGTCATACTTATAAAAGGAAGGATTTAGGGTTTAGGTGATGATGGGTCATTTAAGAGGGAAGTTGTTATTGATCTTTGGATGTGCTTAATGCTAGATATTGTGTGGTTTTGAACATCACTTGATTTTAAACACCACCTTCGTCTCTGAAGAGGTGCTGAAGGTTTGTGGCATATGTTTGTGGATTTAGTTTGGTGTGAAACAATTTCCTCTGTTTTGCCTCCTTTGCTAGTAAAGTGAAAACACTTATTTCTAGAAAGTTCTGTTAGTAAAGTGATATTGCATATTTGCACACATCAGATAACTGCAATGAGATATATATATATTTTTTTAAAGTGAAACTAATAGTTTGGAATTGGCATAGTAGTTGCAAGGCCAAAAAGGAAAATCCAACAATCAGTGTTTAAGGATCTTGATAATTTTGTGTATTGTAAGGGTGGAGTGTATTGTTTTGCTTGAACGTGGATTGACACTTCTTTGTCAGATGACACACTTTAAACTTGAAATTGCAGATTTCCAAAATCACTGAAGAAGGTGTAACCATCTCTCAGCCCTACTCTTTGAAGACTTTCTGGGGTTTCTCTGCTTTTGAAAATCCAACATTGGGTGCTGAAGGATCATGGTAGTTGAATACAGGCATGGGTTCTGAACATGAAACAGCCAACTAGGAGCTAAGTTGAACTTTAATGTGTTTCTACAGTTATTGGAACCATGAATTTGTAACAGTGTTGACTCGAATATAGCTGGTTGGCTTTTGAGAAACATTTTAGCTATATTACCCATCGTTTTCTTAAATTTGGTGTTGCAGCATCCAACAAGTATGAACTTATTGTAGTGACACTTAAAGCAATTTCTATTTTCCTTTCAATCGTTTGGCCGGTATGTGGTTTGAAATTATATAATCGGTTGCAGGATACATACATACATACATATATATTTATACATCAATAAATTGTTTGATTAGCAATAACAGGAATAGGAATTCTATCTGGCATCTGATTTTCTTTGTTTTCATACAAAATAGTGGTCTTTTTCTAGAATTTTGGGATACTGGGGACAATAGGAGGATATCATGGATTGTTGTTAAGCAAGGAGAAATGAGTTCTTGTTTGTTCTACACGGTTATTGAAGCTCCACAGTGCATCTTGTGGTAGGAGTGTGTTTTTAAGTTGAGCTAGGAGGGGATGGTTTTAATCAGTCTTAGTTTGACAATTGGAAAGTTTCTTTAGATTATAAAATATTTTTGGAGCCGTCAGATGTGAAATGTATGATCTAAATTCTTGTGATGAGACGATTATGTTTATGCTCTCCAGATGGAAGGCAAACTGTCGTAAGCTTGAACCACTTGACCAAAATTGTTCACGTCCTCGGTTATTGTCGAAGAAAATTAGCGTTTGACAAGAGTAGATTATTGCTTCAACATCTTAACGCAAACAGTATCATTTTGATGGATAATGTTTACTGATAAAACAATGTGTCGATTGAACATACATTGAAAGTTTATAGCGTTGTAATGGAACACTGCCACATGGTATGACCAATCTATGTGCTATAATTAAGTGGGCGACAGAAGTTTTACTTTAGGGTATTATAACCGATTTACGTGTTAAATATGGATGAATCTTGGCTAAGCATACATAGAAGCAAAAACAAAACATTACCTGGATCTAGCTTTCTGGTATGCCTGACTCAGTTGAATCTCAGACCAACAAATTAACAGCCAAAATGAATTTTAGGTAAAAACACTTCATTTCCAAGAGAGCACATGTAATGTTTACAATAATTTGGATGAATTATCAACTATCAAGGAATATTTTATATGATATGACACACATTCTTTATTGTTATGGAAACAAAAAACAAACAAATAAATAAAATAGAAACATTGGTAACCAAGTTTTATGCAGCTAGTTGTTTAGATGCTTGTAAGCTTGGAAGTGTTCTTATACTTTTCTTGGGGGAAAATATCATGCCATGAAAGTCTAAGCTTGGCACAGCAGAAACCGAGAGAACTTGCACCAGAAACGTACATGAGCTGAAAATGCAGGCATTTTGCACCTGCAAAACAGAGAGTAAACAGCAAACTGTAAGGATGAGAACAAAATGAAAATAAATACTCTTATGAAATGTACAAAGTTTGCTGTGCTCCTAGTATTTTGCTAAGACAAAGAAAGTGGAACCCCATTTTCATCAAAACTAAAACTTCTGGTTGCCATTGCTTGCCACGGTAGTGGTTTTCGTGCATATGCAAGGTTTCCTATGCAGAAGAGATGACGCTGGCATCCCAGCCCCCCCAACAGGGTCATGACCGACGACAGCGCCATCTCTTCTGCGTAGCGAACCTCTCAATGCTTTACTCTCCTTCCATCTATGATTGGTTTTGCTCTACGAAAGAGGTATTTTGTAGTAACCCATCATGGCTTTGAATATTCTCTGTGTACTTATACAGACTGTCTCCAGCCATATATACATATATATACCTCCATGAAGTAAAGGCTCAGCCACAAGCATATATCAGCCCCAATAAACCAGTAGACAAAATTTACATGTTACATATATTTTCATGGAACTAATAATTATAAGAAAATAAAATTCCATTTAATTATGAGGTCATTTGCGGAACGTCAGCCGTACCATATAAGACAGGAGCTAATGGGAGACCTATTGTCTAGGGTATCTTGTCAGCTCGGCAAAACTCTAAAATGCATCATTATCCACAGCAGCAAATGCTGGCCCCCCAATTTATAGCCAAATCATACAGCTTAAAGACAGAACAACTTGAACCACAAACACAAAAATCAGCTAAAGCAGCAATTGATGCATGGAGTTAAAAACTCTCTCTCAATCACTTCATGAGAGAAATGCTAAGCTGGACATCAAGTGGACTGATAAAATTTCCAAGGCATCAACAGTTATGTAATTGGAAGCATCATGCTTACCAAATTCCTATTCATTTAAGTAGTGTCACTTGTTTGTTATAAATATGGGAGAATCTGAAAGTGAAGGATGCTATGCGAGCATTGACATGTCTTCTAATGATCTGAATCGTCCTCGTTGTTTAGTCAATTGATTACCAACAAAATGGTTTCCTTTTAATACATGTTGTATTATCAATTTGGCTAATGTTTCACAAGAAAAACCTTAAGAAGCCACCTTAAAAATAGGCGGCTACGAGCATTGAGTTGCACTATTGAGTGGTCACATTATGTAGAATCCAGTTCAATGGTTTAAGGAAAAGGGCACAATCATGTCTCAGCCTCTCATGTACTCACTCTTCAAGGGTGCCCTTTATTCAGTGAATGGCATATGCAGGTCTCATTCGTTCATTGAATCCTCCTCAGGATCCATCCATATTGTTACATACTTTTTTTTGGTTATATTGGGAGGAAAGATAACCCACCACCACTGTGGTGGAACCCATTGGCATATTGTTATATACTTCATTTTAGGTAAAAGGGTGACTTTGCTACCGATTGTGTATAGTTCCCTCCATTGACAGGAAGGGCAAGCCCACTCAAGGAGGAATATATATACTACATACAGAGTGGTTACAAATATGAAATATGTACAAAATCTCCTAATTATACTCAAATTAGATAATTACAATAAAATATAAATTCAATTCCTAATAGGAACATTGACTCACGCCAACACTCCCCCTCAAGTTGGTGCATAGATGTCGGTAATGCCCAACTTGTCAAGTGAGTCTTCAAATCGGCGCTTTGATATGGCATGAGTCAACATATCTGCAAGCTGCTCTGAAGAAGGCACAAAAGGTATATAAATTAACTTATGCTCCAACTTCTCCTTAATGAAATGCCGATCAACTTCTACATGCTTAGTTCGATCATGTTGCACCAAATTGTTAGCAATTTCAAATGCAGACTGATTTTCACAATGGAGCTTTGTAGCAGCATTCGGTCTAAAACCAATTTCAGCAAGTAACCACCTCAACCACAGTATTTCACAAACCCCTTGGGCAATCCCTTTGTACTCAGACTCTGCAGAGGACCGAGATACAACGTTTTGCTTCTTGCTACGCCACGTAACTAGGTTACCACCAACAAAGGTGAAGTAACCTGATGTAGAACGTCTATCTGTAATATTCCCTACATAATCTGCGTTAGTGTAACCTTATAGATCCAAGTGACCATTTTTCTTAAATAATAAACCTCTCCCAGGAGCAGACTTTAAGTAATTTAGAATATGCATCACAGTAGCCATATGATCCTCACTAGGTGAATGCATAAATTGGCTAGCAAAGCTTACAGCATAGGCAATATCAGGGCATGTCAACGATAAATAAATCAATCTCCCAACCAACCTTTGATATCTTTCTTTGTTAGTTGGGACCTGATCCATATAAACACCAAGTTTATGATTCTCAACAATAGGTGTATCAACTGGTTTACAGTCAAGCATTCCAGTATCTGCTAGTAGGTCCATGACATACTTCCTTTGTGAAAGAAATAAGCCATGTTTAGATCGAGTGACTTCCACACCTAAAAAATATTTCAGACTGCCCAAATTTTTCATCTCAAATTCAGATGCTAAACGCTTTTGTAGTTCCTTGATTTCTATAGTATCATCACCAGTCACAATCATATCATCAACATAAATAATCAACAAAGTCACCTTACCAGCCCTATGCTTAATGAATAGAGTATGATCAGTATTGGCCTATTGGTAACCAAACTTCTTCATAGCTATAGTAAATTTGCCAAACCATGCCCGAGGAGACTGCTTTAACCCGTACAGTGCCTTTTTTAATTTGCACATGTTCCCCATTTCACCGGTAACCCTATACCCTGGTGGAAGACTCATGTACACTTCTTCTTCTAGTTCACAATGTAAGAATGCATTTTTTTACATCAAATTGCCTTAAGGTCCAATCCAAGTTCACTGCTAAGGACAACAAAACTCTGACAGTATTCATCTTAGCCACATGTGCAAAAGTATCATGATAATCAACTCCATATGTATGAGTGAACCCTTTAGCTACTAATCTTGCCTTGTACCTCTCCACAATACCATTTGCATTATATTTAACTGTAAACACCCATCTGCATCCTACAGGCTTCGTTCCCTTTGGTAGATCAACAATGTCCCATGTATTATTTTTCTGCAACACCTCCATTTCAATATTCATGGCTTCAGCCCACTTTGGATCATTAAACGCCTCCTCAACACGGGTTGAAATTTTAATACCATCCATTCTGGTCACAAACGCTTTGCACTCAGGAGATAACTTGTGATCAGACACAAAATGGGCAATAGCATATCCCGCTTTGCCTTCTGGTGAGTAACGATCAGGTGGAACCCCATGGTTCCATCTAGGCGGTAAAACATAAGAATTATCAAAAGTATGAATACAAGCACTTACCTCAGGAATATCCAGGGGAGCTTAATTGGGTACTATTAGAGAAGCTTCATAGGGGGCAATCGGTTCAGTGATAGTAGTGACATTAGTTAAAATAGTAGGTTTAGCTAGTGTAGCAGGTTCGCCCGGTGTAGCAAGTTCAGCCGGTGTAGCAAGTTCAACCGGTGTAGTAGGTTTAGTAGGTTCGGTTGGTTCTTCCCTTTGTATCAAACTATCCAATACTACTCCCCCTGTAAATCTAGTCAATTATGTCCTTCACTACTAGTCTCCCCTTGAAGGACATGCGCGGGTGTATCAAAGAAGAACATTTTATCCTCAATAAAGGTAACATCCATAGAGACATATAGACGTCGGGTGGCAGGATGATAGCATCGGTAGCCTTTCTGATGAGGAGAGAAACCCAGAAAGACACAGCGGAGAGCACATAGGTCCAGCTTACTCCTCTGATTCTGATGGAGGTGAACATAAACGACACAACCAAACACCTTTGGAGACAGAGTCAGCATAGAGGAGGCAGAGATATGACGGGTCAGTACCTGCATAGGAGTCTGGAAATCCAAAACTCGTGAAGGTAGACGATTCAAAATATAGACTGCACAGGTAACAACATCCATCCAGAACCGCTTTGGCACTTACGCACCAAGCAGCAGAGCACATGCAGCAGCAAGGATCTACCCATTTTTACGTTCAACAACTCCATTCTGTTGTGGTGTTTGAAGGCAAGTAGTCTCATGGAGTACACCCTTAGTGTGAAAAAAATGGGATAACGCCAAATTAACAAATTCTCCACCATTATCAGATCGAAAAACCTTGATAGGGAGCATAAATTGAGTCTGAATCATCTGATAGAAACGCTGAAAATTTTCGACCACATTACTTTTATTTTTCATCCCATATAACCACATCATACGAGTGCAATCATCCACAAATAACACAAACCAACGAACTCCTAAGGATGTAGAAACCGGGGAAGATCCCTAAACATCAGAATGAACTAAATCAAATGGCATAAGTCGTTTATTACAACTTGGAGGGTAGGATACCCGATGACTCTTAGCTAAAATACAAGTGTGACATTGGAAAGCAGACTCGTTGACACCACTAAATAATGCAGGAAACAAATGCCGTAAATATTCAAAGGAGGCATGACCAAATCGGCAATGTAGCAACCAAATCCGGCGATGCTGGGAAGTTTCGGTGTTACCAGCACGAAGAACTCGACTAGTTGCTACATCATCCACATAATAAAGCCCCCTCTTTTTAGTACCACGACTAAAGATCTCCCGAGTTTGGATATCTTGTAGTAAGACAAAAGACGGATACATCAGTACAACGCAGTTTAACTACTCAGTAACTTGTGGTACAGATAATAAATTACTAGACAAAGATGGAATCAGTAACACTTTGTCCAATGGTAAAGCAGGTGTTAAGAGTATAGAACCAGCCCCTGTGATCACGATCACGATGAGGCAGAAGCATTATTAGCAGTTAGAACATGATCACGATGAGGCAGAAGAGTAGTAGAGAATAAAGCAAAATTATACGTCATATGGTCAGTATATCCTGAATCAATAATCCAACATGTATCTCGGGTATCATGGGCATGGAAAGCCTTGCCAAAGTGACCTAGAGGCGGAGGTGTTGGAGTGCTTGAGATAGCGGTCAAAGTCGAAGGAGGAGTAGCAGTAAGGTGGCCGTGCCCAGTGGTGATGTTAGCCATAGAAGTGGAGGCAATAGCCACATGAGCTTTGCTGTCCAGTTGTTCCTTTTTTAAACGCCTCCACTCCTTCTCCTAATCCGGTACCCTATGCAATGCCCAGCAGGTGTCGATAGTATGTCTCTTTTCACCACAGTGATCACACTTCAGTTTGTCTTTTTTTGCAGAAGTCAGGCGACGAGGTGAAACAACAGAAGAGCCAGACCCTGTACACCGAGAAACCAAATCAGTGTTTTTGGAAGCAAACACAACAGCAGGTTCCCCAATCTTGGTGCCGAATCCAAGCATAGTAATCTAGCGTTGAGCCTCTCGACAAACCATAAAAAATACATTTTCGATACTTGGAACTTTATCACTCCATAGAATATCACTACAGACCTTGTCATAAGTATCGTCAAGGCTAGCCAAAAAATCGTACACACGATCTGCCATAACAACAGCCTGAAAAGTCTTCATATCATCAACACACTTCATCTGAAAATGACGTCTCTTGTCCAATTCAAGCCAGATTACCTTAAGTTCGGCAAAATAGGTAGAGCTAGGACGACCCTCTTGCTTGAGACAGGTAGCCTGGCACCACAGTTCATAGAGCTGGGATATGTCAGAGTCATCATAAAACATCTGATTAACAGCGTCCCAAATTTCCTGAGCAGTAGAGTATGAAACATATTCAACAAACTGGGTTTCATAGTTCGCAGCATCCAACTTTTCACAATAACATCAACAATTTTCCACTTCCCAAATTTTGGGTCTTTGGAATCAGGGGCATCAGCGTCACTAGTCAGGTAACACAATTTGCCTTGTGTAGTAGCTTAGAGTTCGATCATCGAAGCCCATATCTCATAGTTGGATCCATTCAATTTGAATCCCATAAGTAGGTTGGTGGACGATTCGGTATGAACCATCACAATAAGAGTAGAAGAAGAAGATTCAGTGACATCTGACATGATGATAGATGGCAGCGGCAACAAATATTAGGTGGCGACAATGATAATAAGAGATATAAGACGGCACATGCTTAGGTGTATAGGCTAGGTGCAGCGGAAATAGGTATTTTTGGGATTAGGGTTTTGATGTTGTAGAGACGGAGCGGAACCCGCTCTAATACCAACTCAAAATAATTAGGGTTTAAACTGCTATATTTATTCTTCTCTCAAGGAGGAATATATATACTACATACAGAGTTGTTACAAATAGGAAATATGTACAAAATCTCCTAATTCTACTCAAATTAGATCATTACAATAAAATATAAGTTCTATTCCTAATAGGAACGTTAACTCATGCTAACAAGCCCCACCACACCCAAAATAGAGAGAGAAGGGGCTAGGGATAATGTTAAGGGTTTGACCCAAAAAAGAGGAGTAAAGTTTGTTGAGGACTTTTCTAAACATACGAACTCAATGATTGAAATTAAAGGTAAATATAGCACCTTTCCTCATGACTTCATGCGAAGAGGTAAACCTATATACTTGCAACTACACCTCATTTTGCAAATCAATAACGAAGCCGGAACGAACAAGCTTGAAGATCTTAAATTTTAATAATCAAAGTTTGGAATCGAATTAGACAATCATTAGACCCAAAAAACTACTTTGTTATGGAGTTAACCAACAATGTTGGTCGAGCTTAAAAAATCTCTTGTACTACAAGTCATTCTACTTTGTGAACTTGTAGAATGTTGTAGCTGCTATTGGCCTTTTTTGTTGTTTCTGACTTTTCATTGCAGATCACTCATCAACTTGTTTCATTTATAATGATGCAGACCCATGAGAAGCTTTGGACCTCTCAGGTTTAAATATCTCATTATACGTGCAATAATAATAGAGCATCTGTGACCACTCTTTGGCCATTCTTCTGGTGCTAGCCTCCCTTACTGGTTGGCCACAAAAATATGTACGGCAGAAGACATTCCACTACTATAATTTGTATACACAAAACATATACATATTTATCAACGTGTATCTACACTCAATGGCGGACTTAGGAATTTTTATAGGGCTAGGCTAAATAATTTTTTTTTATAGAGGAGATATATTATAAGCCTTTTTTCTCTTTGCCGGTCTATTGTCATCATGTGACATGATATCCTAACAAGAAATACTAGACACCAAAAATCATATATGCTAATTAATAATTCAAGTTGCAAAATAAAACATATATTAACAATCTCCAAAAAAATTCACCCAAACCCTAAATCATAAAAACTTAACAACAACAATTAAAATTGGAAATTAAATATATATATATATATATATATATATATATATAAAGAGAAAAACTTACCAAGATTGAAGAACCCACTGAAGATAGGTTGGTACAATTTTTTGGAGGAGGAGAGCTATTTCCTCTAGGCTCTCAAGGTTCAAATATGGCGTTTTGGGTGGCTAGAAGAATTTTTTGAGAATAGGTCAAGTTGGTAGAGCCTTAGCGTGAGTTCTACTTCTAATCAAATTTATATAGGTTTGGATTGATGTTTATTATTTTGAATATGCTTCAAGGGTGGGCTTATTTTAAATAAAGATATTATTTACTTTACTTAAATTGGGCTATTATTAGTTTATTATATTTATTTGGTGTAGTGGGCTAATATTTATTGGAGTAGGAATAAACTTAACTATATTTAATATTTAAAAATCTTCCCCTAGGCTGGAGCCCACTCCAACCTAGTAATAGATCCGCCCTTGTCTACACTACACCTAGCTGTATCTATCATGATCATGCTGCTACTCCTAATATGTATAATTCTTTATCAACGAGACAAGTTTTAAATCTGAAAATCCTTTCAACGTTGATAGGAAAAATATCACTAAATTAAGAGTAATGAAATTATGAAATAGAATTATTATAAACTTTCATACGAGAAATGAGATCGTTGCTATTTCTTTGCACTTGTATCCCTCGTGTTTATGTTTGGAAATCAAGAAATTAGTACAAACTGAAACCCCTTTGAATCTAATTCCAGTTTAAACCAATACAACCAGCTAGGCTTCAATTTGATTCACAAATTTATAGACATCCGCTTTGGAAGTTTTTGAGAAAGAAGCTGACAAAGCTAATAAGAGTACTAGTCGAAAAGGGAAGAAATTTTAATTTATGTACTGGCCTTTTTGGCTAACGGCCTCTGTTCCTGATCTATAATGTAATATATCGCTAATTTTCAGAAAAAAAAAGAGAACCAAAAAAATAAATTTCATTTTAGCATTTCCAAAATAGGAGTCTTTCATTCTTATCCACCAGGGACCAAGATTCATTCTGCAAACGAAACGAGGCCCTTAAGACTCCATTTGGTTCACGGAACGGATTTGAGGGAAAATCACTTCTAATGTCATTTTCTAAGGGATGGGAAATTGAGATTTCTTTAATTTTCCAATTATACACATATAAAATCAAATAAAAAAAAAGCATTTAATGCTATATTGTAATTCTAAATTGTTATTGGGGTCATGAAAAATGTGTATTTGATGTTGGCTAATTTTCCCAAACTTTCTTATGAGGAAGAAAACAAAATCCAAGGGGGAAGAAGGGTTTCACTTTCCCTCATACTTTCCCATTTGCAAGGCAACGATTTCCCATGCCTGCACTTACCAAATATGGGAAAGTAATTGATTTCCTATCTCAAAGCCTCATTTCCCATGAACTAAACGGGCCTAAGAGGAGGTTGCAAGCTAAACTCGTGGGTCAGAAATTAGTTTTTTTTTTTCGCCAATGGAAATTAGTTGACATCACCAAAACCTATGGGCTTTCCCACCAAGTTCTCATTCTACCAGAACATAACCCATCCTTCTGAATCATGGGTCGTGCTTGATGGTGAGGCTGAATTTGAGCTCAAGTCCTTTGTTTTTCTTCACCTTCTTTATTGTCTTCCACACCAACCCAGATCAAGCAACCAAGGCACTTGGCCTCTATCTTGCTAAAAAACCCAACTAGTCGCTCAGCCACCCAACAAATCCACTCTCACATTCTCACCTCTGGCTTTCTCCTCCATCACTCCATTTCAACTGCTCATCTTCTCCTCTTCAACACTTTGCTTCGTTGCTATTCCTTTGGCCCCTTCCCTCGTGAAGCTTTCACTTTCTACAAACACCTCCAAAATTTTTCCCTTTCCTTCCACTCCTCCAGCTACTCCTTTCTTCTCCATGCCTCCATTCAGTGGCGGATCCACATAGGCGCAAGGAGGTGCTGCACCTCCTCTTGCTAGAAAACGCTTTGGAAGTGGCAATGATTGCCCCTTCTGCTTTGTCTGAAGGTGTTGGCTGCGCTAAGAAGAACCTGCTGCGTGAGGAAGAAGATGATTTCTAAACCCTTTCTTTTTCTTAAACGACGTCGTTGGGTTCACCTTTGGGTTTTAATAAAAGTGTGCGTTTTGATCGTTATTTTAAAGCCTTTTTTTGTCCTTTCCTTTTTCCAAATCTATTTCTCTCTCCTCCCAATACAATCACACCAAACCCCAAATTCTTTTTTTCTCAACCGCATGTATCTCTAGCCCTAACCCTCCTGTCAATTTAGGAATCATCCTACTCTATTTCAATAGTATAACTAATTGGATAATATTAGGTTTTGAAATTGATTATTATATTTATTACTTATATTTAATTGAATATGAAGCTTTAATCAGATTTACTGATTTAGTTTCATTATATTTTATTATTTATAATTTTTCTTCGCAAAAAGCTTACTCATCATTGCTTTCAGGCTTACGCTTCATTTTGCGGGACCAAAGTTACTTAGCATCTACACCTACACCTACACCTTGCCTTTCAAAACTTTGGTATTATTTAAATTATAAGGGTAATTGGTTATTTGATTTTTATTTATTTTTTTGCTTTTAGTCTTTTAAATATTGCCCCTCCCCTGAAGAATTTTTGGATCCGCCACTGCCTCCATTACCTTAAAATCCAACAACCCAAGTACCCAAATCCATGCCTTCGCTCACAAACTCGGTTTCCATTTCCATGTCTATGTTCAAACTGCCTTGCTTAGTATGTATGTTGCTTGTGGCTCTTTGCTCCTTGCTCTCCACGTGTTCTACGAAATGCCCGATTGGAATTCTGTTACTTGGAATGTCATGACAACTGGTTTGGCCAAATGGGGTGAGCTTAAATTGGCTCGGTCTCTGTTATTATTGACGCCTACTCCTGAAAGAATCAGCCCCGTGAAGCTGTTGCTTTGTTTCGAAGAATGGTTGTTGAAGATTGCATTGAGTCTACTGAGGTTACACTTCTGGCCGTATTTCCAGCTGTTTCGGTTCTTAGGGCTCTTAAGATTTGCCAATCACTTCATGCTTACGGTGAGAAGAGAGGATTTAATGCATCTGACATACGTGTCACCAATTCCCTTTTGGATTCTTATGCAAAATGTGGCTGCATAGAGAGTGCATTGAGATTATATGAGGAGATATCTGTTGAGAGAAAGAATTTGGTGTCATGGACATCTATAATCTCTGGGTTTGAAAAGCGTGGGATGGGGAAACAAGCCGAGTATTTTAATAGTATGGAGCAAGTTGGTCTCAGACCAAATCGAGTGACGCTCTTGAGTATTTTCGATGCTTGGAGAGGATTAATTGATGAGGGGCTGAACTTCTTTGGGAAGATGGTCAACGAGTATGAAATTGCACTAGATATCAAGCACTATGGGTGCTTAATAGATATGCTAGGGAGGGCAGGGAGATTAGAAGAAGCAGAAAATATGGCTTTGGAGGTTCCTTCCAATATCGTTAACGTTGTGATCTGGAGGACCCTGTTGGGTGCTTGTAGCTTTCATGGTAATGTGGAAATGGGTGAGAGGGTGACAAAGAAGATACTGGAGATGGAGAGAGGATATGGAGGGGACTACGTGCTTATGTCCAACATCTTTGCTGGGGTGGAAGGTGCAGTGATGCCGAGAGAATGAGAAGCTTGCTGGATGAGAGGAATGCCTTCAAACTTCCAGGGCATAGTTTGGTCTAACTGGTGCTGAAGATGGGCAACTATGGTTGAGAGAGATTATGAATGTTGCAGGTGATTGCTAGATAATCTCAAGTTTGAGAAAACAAGGCCAATATCTGAAAAAACAAGTTAATAATGCATTTGACGATGAAAAAAACAGGTTTGTCTTCACCACTTCCACCTCCTAAGTCATCTTCTTTGTCTTCTTATGTTTAACAGGAGCTACGGTTGGTAAAAGAGTGTTATGTTTCAACTGCAGAACAAAAAATCCGACGATGAATAGTAGTAGGGCATGTTTCTGTATATAGTGCATTCCATTTAAAACTCTTCTTGAATTGTTTTAGCAAAAAGTATTTGCTGATGTTTTAATGTGACGCTTCTCATCATATGCAGCCAAGCTGCCTCAAGCAAATCTGCAACAAACCCTGTAACAGCAGAATCCATTTGTCCCTCTTATGCAGGAGTGTGTGGATGCCATCACTGAACTCCAGAGGCTTCATTCATTGATGAAGGGAGAGTTGGTTTCGTGATTTTTCACTATGTATATCACCTTATGCGGGCATCTGATGTAGCCTTAGGGTTATGAATAATGGGATTTTGTGAAATTAGGATTTGACTATTTAAGAAAGATTGAATAACCTGAATTAACTACCAGTCTATTAATGAGATCACTTAGGTTATGGTAACTGATCTAAACTCGGTTTCTTCCAGTGGAGTTTCACAGAGCTTGCTGAAGGACCCTGTTTGAAGAATTATGAATATCTTGGAAGTGGAGAAGTATATGATAAAAAGCACAAGTGGACTGTTGAGCTGCCAACTGATTCTCACTTGCTCTTGTATTTGTTCTGTGATTTCCTGGAGCATTCAAAGTGGATGCTGCAGGTGGTGGATCCTGATCCTCCGCTGGAACTCCTTCGAGCAAAAATCCCTCTATCCTTGGGTTAGGATATTTTCTTCCAGATATGAGGATGTTGGATTATTCTGCCTCCTTCAGATTGACTTGGATGGGATAATTTGGGAGAAACGTTTTGGAATAATTTGATCCAACCAGTCATTAACAGTTCCATTTCTTCATTTTCTTCTCATAAAACTGAGTTGTTAATAATCCACACGAGCAATTAAACTATATGACATTAGCTAGAATCCACATATGTAAGAAGAAGACGTCAAATGTTTGCATTTCACTGTGAAACCATTATCATAGGACAGGCATTTGGGTGTTGAAATTATAAAAAAACCCAACACCCAAAACACTTTATAAACACACCCAAAACCCATCATTACACACACTCAAAACCCATTTATAAACACACCCAAAAAGTTGACTTTGGGGTTGATTTTGGGTGTGTTTCTATGTTTAAATAGTGCTTGGGTTTTTTTATAAATACATGTCTAGGATTGGGTTTATTTATAAATTTGTATAAAATCTATTAGCTCCTTTTCCAGGATAATTCCAATGTCTATTCTCAGAAACAAGAGCAAATTGCTGCACTATCCTATTATTTCTTCCATTTCAATTCTCAGGCTAACGACTGAATCATTTAGCCAATTTTTTTTTTCATATTATAAAATATTTTCCTTCTGAGATATGCCAATAGCCTTCTAATAACCGTAAGTGTCCACAATCTAACAAGTTGCCCGTCTAGCTCAGTTGGTAGAGCGCAAGGCTCTTAACCTTGTGGTCGTGGGTTCGAGCCCCACGGTGGGCGCTGGAGTTTCCTCTCATTAACTTTTTGGTATTCAAACTTCATCTTCAATCTTCAAAAGCTTTTCACAGCACTAATTTTTTTTTTTTTTTTTTTTTTTTTTTTTTTTTTATAAATTTTTTTTTTTATTTATTTATTTAAAAAAAAATTACATAAATGCATGACATGAGCTATGTAGCAATATAAACTTTTTATTTTTATTTTTAACCACCTGAGCTAAACTTTATAAAGTGTTGCAATCCATCACATTTTTCCAACGCCAATCTCACCCCTCATGCGAATCCAAACAATTCAACACAATCCCCTCCCCTTCATACAATCCTCCCTTATATTGAGGGATCTAAATAGGCAACTTCAAAATATTAAGGGCACCAAAAGTAGTGAAATTGGGCACAATCAAGGAAATAAAAATACTGGGGGTAGTGCAGTTTGATCAACGTACCAACTACCAAGAACTTATTCTTGGCTGCTATGCAAGTGATGAGTTCCAAAATTAAATTTTGGGACATGGACAATGTAGACCCGTTGAATGCTACTGACGTGGAGGATGGGTTAAGGATAAGGCAGCTCTCTCTCTCTCTCTCTCTCTCTCTCTAAATTAATTAAATTAATTTTAGTGTTAGCCGTACGATCTGTAATATTATTGTGCATATTTTGATGATAACAAATTGTTCCTTATTTATCTAATGTCTTTCAAGTGTGATAAGTTATAAAGAGCATGTCTTCTCAAATAGATAAAAAATACTGTACACATTAGAAGACTTTGGGAACATTGAATCAAGAAGCCGATACTCAAACAAATATTTCTTTAATACAGAACAGTTAGGTTATTCTTGTAAAACTCTTTGAGAATTGAACATCTAAGGTTCTTTACTTAGATTGACCTTAGATTCCTTCATACATTCATATCATACATGCAAAATTGTTTTATCAAAATTTTGGCTAAGTATGAAAAATGCTTTTTCAAAATAATCATTTTTTGAAGATAATTTTTGGCGGCTTTTATTCCCTACATATCAAATAAGAAAACCTGATTTTATGAGATTTTTATATGAAGTATATATTGACTTATTAAGCCTTCGTTTTTATTCCAAATCGCATCTTTAACATATATAGGTTGTAATGAGGCCAAGGGTGTTAGGTGAGTAAGAAATGAAAGGTATGGATAATACAAAGTCCAAGGAACTCAAAATATAAGAGCATAAAACAATTGTTTTTAAGACTTCGAATCATCACAATGAGAAATATATATATATATATTTACATGATCAAAACTCCTTATCCTCCATTCTTTTAATTGAACAAACACCAATTTATTTTGAGGTCAATAAAGAAACCCAAAAACGAAATTTCATTCAACCACCACTTAATCACAACTTTTCTCTTTCTTTTCACTAATTGTATGATTTGTTTTTTTTTTTTTTTTTTTTTTTTTTTTTTTTTCGAAAACAACACCCTTCCCAAACTTAGTATGAAAAACACATCCTAATTAAAGCTCAAGAGTTCCTTAGAAAGGTAAATACTTGTTTTTCAGGCTAAGGTGAGAAAATATAATTGGTTAAATGAAAGAAAAGGTTTACATGTAGGCTCAAAATGGTTAACAATGGAAAATCATGCTTAAGCATAAAGTTAGCTTGAAAGGCACAAACGATCCATAAAGGGTCTTAATATCATTTCTTAAATGTCATGAAATCAAATTGCAAAAGAATGAATGACTTTTAAGTGTTCAACTAAATCAATGAATAATGAGATCAAACAACAACTTAAATGACAAGAAAATAAGAGTACGTATATAACACTCATGAATTGAAGTACTAGGCTCAAAAGCTCACTTTATATAGTTATATATGTCTAATTTATGCTTGATACAATTCTTTGGATCATGCAAATCTTTTAATTGGGAAAATATGAAACAAATGGCAAGTGTACAGAAGGTTTCAAACATATCATGCTAGAGCAATGCTGAATTTTTTAATTTTTTAATTTTTTTTATAAAGAAAATCCAATTTTCATTTAAGTCATGCAAACATTTATCACAATCTCATCAAATGTGTTCGGAAAGTGACTAAAAAAAAAAACTAAAAGAAAAGAAAAGCAAGACTAAAATAAAAAAACAAAAGTAAAAGCAAGAAAAAAAAAACAAAAAAAAAAACAAATTTACTTGCTAAATTCCAATACCCGCAAACCTAGAAATGAACATTGTCCTCAATGTTTAAAATTTTGACACAAGCAATGTCATAATAACAAATGAAGCTATTAAAGCAAATAAAAATCACAAGCGAACCCGCCACGCAGAAGGGTCAAAGTACACTCGTAAAACGTGCTGACCTTGTGAGCCCACGAGCATCAACCTGTTAAGTGCAATTTATTTCGGTCATAGCCAATTATAGCACAATAAGAATTCAAGAATGAATATGTCAAATAAACACACAACGCCAAGCCAAAAGACCGCCATCCTAACTCCAAGCCACGCTATGAGCTTACGTGGGCCCAAGCCACGTAAAAACAAGAAACCTAGGGCTTGCTGAGAAGGTTGTGATATGGATGGACACGAGTCTTCACAAAGCCTATTGAGGATTCAAGGGATGGAAGTTTTTGGCAACTTGGGAGCATCCAAAACTCAAGCCCATCTCTTGGGCCTGAGCACATGGGCAAGCCATGGAGAGAAAGAAGGTGGTCCAATGCCTTAGAAAAAAAAATATAAAGATCTGCAACATTTAGGAAAAGCCCCTACCAAGGGCCTCATCAAAAGCCACTTCTAGCAGCTTGACGAAACTTCAAAAGGCTTTAGCTGGCTGCTGAAAATAGGAAGCCTGTACCTTAGGAAAAGGCCTAGCCCAGCGCCTTATAAAAATCTAGCATCACATCTGGCTATTAGAACAAGTCAAACAAGCTTGAAGTGCCTATAAAAGGAGGCCACTTCTACCTAGTAAAACACACAATCATCCAGAGCACAACCAAGCTTTTGTCAATGAAACTGGAAATTCTTTCAAGAAGTCCTCTCCTCTGTTCCGATCTTTAACTTTTTCTTCTTTAGTCAAAATCTCCCCAAAGCCTTTTCTCCTTTACTTTAAGCCTTAATTTTATTTAGAAATTCATACTCTTTCTCTCTATGGCTAAATTTGTGAAGTCTTAGCTCCCATGCCACAAGCTTCTCAAGCCAAGTCACTTATTAATCTGTCACGTTTATCTTTGGTGAAAAGAACCCAAAGTGTTTTCTAAGGTTTCAACAAACTTTTCAAAACTCTTTTGGAGCCTGGTTCTTGAACTCAGGCACAGGGGAATTTTGTTTGACTTACTCTTACAATAGTCCAAGCCCATTCGTTAGGCTGCTGGAACAAAAAGACCCCTACATAAATTGGCGACTCTACTGGGGATCAAGTTGCCATCTTCACCAATGCCTCCAAGAAAAAAGGTCAAAAGTAATACAATGGCTTTCCAAGACAGACCAGACCATGATGATTCGGAATCAAGGCAAAATGCCTCCTCTAGAGGGGAAGAAAGTGCAAGTGAAGGAGCTTTCACCCTAGCAGACCTCATTGCGACTATCTATGTTATGGGGGAAACCCAGAGGGAAATGGTGGACACCATCAAAGAATTGAAAAGTTCTGTCTTTAAGCGAAGCGAATAAAATGAAAGACCCCCCATAAGAGGAGTCTGCCGCTGCTAGAAAGGGGTCTGAACAAAAGGGACCATCTTTTGTTACCCAAGAGGACGTCATTGCCATGTTGGAAATGGAGCTTAGCCGAAGCCAAGAAGATTGAAAATATATCCCTCAGCCACCATATCCATCGAGCCTACTCCAACAACCTTATCCCACGGGCTATGAGACACCAAGCTTCATTCTTTTCGACATAAGGAAAGGAAGCCCAAAGGAGCATGTTAATCGCTTCATCGATGCTTTAGGACCACATGCTGGTGATTATAACCTTCGGCTCTGAGAGTTTTCAAAACGCCTTACCGATCGTCCTTAAACGTGGTAGACACACTAGCACCGAGCTCTGTTCGCTCCTAGGAGGTTTTGGCAAGCAGGTTCTGTAAGAAATATTTCCAGCAAGAGGAAACAATTACTACCACTCAACTCAACAATACTCGCCAAAAACATGGGGAAGATCCCGTGGACTTTGTGCGCTGGTTCCGGGACTTGGCTTTAGACTGCTATGACGAGAAAGATGAGGAGGCGCTTGTTGAGATTAGGATAAGCAAATATCGTGGCCGACTACCAAGTTTATATAGAAAATATATGCATCAACCAATTTTCTCAGTTGCTAGAAGCTGTGAGGAAGACGAGCATGTCAGTCAAGCTAACTGGACAGAGAACGTGGAGGAGTGAGAAGAAGGAGGCACATCAAACATTGGCTGCAGATGACAAGCCGTCTAGTGACTATAACTCACACAAATGGAAAGACAGGGAGACATACCCGCCATTACCATGCAAAGACGAAGAGTTCCACGCCATTCTTGACACAATGATTGTTGATGGCGCAATCAAACCTTTCAGGCCCTACAAAGTCCCTACTAGAGAGGAGAAGAATGACCCTAGGTACTGTCGTTATCATCAGTTTGTGGGGCATCCAACCACTGCTTGCCAAACTCTAAGGAGGATCTTGTAGAGTTAAACTCAAAATCCAAACACAGGTGAGAAGAGGTGTTGGAAAGCGTAATTTGTATATTGATAAAGTTGAACTTAAATAGAATGTTACATCACCAGACTATGCTAAATTCAAGGACATGACTCCTACTAACTTAATCCATTACTGACACCACTAACAAACTGCTCCACTACTGGGAGACTCCTAAAGACTTGGTAAACATTACAACGTGCAACATGACTTCTTACATAATAGGATAATCAGTTTATTTAAAAAACAACTGCTGTAACTAGATAAAATCTTAACACCCTCCCTTAAACTAAATGTTCCATGAACAATCAGTTTAGAGAGAAACCTTCAATGTGCACTATAGCTTTTGTCTTCAAGCAATATCCTTCACAGAGCAAACTCCTAACAATTTCCTTAGCTTCGAGAACACCGGTAATTTGAGAGGCTTGGTTAGAATATCAGCCACCTGATCTTCACTTCTGCAGTAGATTAAATCAATTGTTTCATCCTTTGTGAGGTCGCGCAGGAAATGGTAGCGAACATCAATGTGTTTGCTTCTGCCATGTAAAACTGGATTCTTGGACAACTTGATTGCTGAATTGTTATCACAATAGACAAGAGTTGGACCTTCTTGCAAACCACGTAATTCTTCAAGTGTCCTCCTCAACCAAATAGCTTGACAGTCGTAGGCTGCTACTACAATAAACTTAGCTTCAGTGGTTGATAGAGTGACAATCTGTTGTTTTTTGGATGACCATGAAATAGCTCCTGCTCCCATTATAAATGCATAACCTGAGGTGCTTCTCCTATCATCTGGGTCTCCTGCATAGTCACTATCAGTGAAGCCAAACAAACTTGATTTAGCTCATTTCTTGTATAATATTCCAAAATTGATTGTGCCCCTTAGGTAATGAAAAATTCTTTTTGCTGCCACCAAATGAGGCACTTCTAGACACTCCATATATATGCTAATGAGACTCACTGCATGTTGTATGTTTGGCCTGGTTGCTGTAAGATACATCAGACTTCCTACAATCTGTTTGTAGAGAGTTTTATCAACCTTCTTCTCCCCAGAATTCTTCACTAGTTTCAAACCAATTTCAGTTGGCATACAAACTGAATTAAAATCCTTCATCTCAAACCTGTCTAAGATTTCTTGAACATATTTCCTCTGTGAAATAAATATTTCGGCACTAGATTGTACTACTTCTATACCAAGAAAATAGTGCATCAATCCAAGATCAGACATATCAAACTCATGCATCATGGATTTCTTAAGATCATTAAACATGACCACATCATTACCTGTATAGATCATATCGTCCACATACAAGCACGCGATGAGTATTTGCCCTTCCTCTCCAGATTTTGTAAAGAGTGTATGCTCATATGGACATTTTTGAAATCATTCTCTTGCAAAATATGCCTCTATGCGGCTGTACCAGGCTCTAGGAGCTTGCTTCAGCCCATATAAAGCTTTTTTAAGCCTGTAAACTTGTTTTTCCTTCCCTGGCTGAACATAGCCTGTTGGCTGCTCAACATAAACTTGTTCTTGCAACTCACCATGTAAAAATGCAAACTTCACATCCAGCTAGAAGATAGGCCAAGAGTTCTGTGCCGCCATTGAAATCACCAGTCAAATTGTGTCATGCATTGCCACTGGCACAAAGACTTCTGTGTAGTCAATGCCGTACTCTTGCTTGTAACCTTTCGCCACCAAGCGTGCTTTGTGCTTATGAATCTCACCCTTCTCATTCAACTTTGTCTTATAGACCCATTTGACACCAATCGTCTTGTGCCCTTGTGGAAGCTCTATCAACTCCCAAGTATTGTTCTTCTCAATAGATTTGATTTCCTCATCCATGGCTTTCTGCCATTTTGGTTCTTTTACGGCATCAGAAAATGACAGAGGATCAGAATCTGCAAACAAAACAAAGTGAACAAGTAGATCATCATCACTTCCTTCACTTCCACTAACGGAATCAAACACCCATTCAAAATCTATCATCCATATAGGCCGCTTCCTTAAACGTTGGGGTCGTGCACTAGATGAACTTGCAGCCTGGGCTCCAATTGTGGAACAACTAGTGCTTGAACAACTGAAGAAGTTGGTGCTGGAACAACTGATGAAGTTGGTGTCGGAATGCACTGTTGTGGCTCCACGTTATCATCAAAATTGACTGGAATGTTCTGCTGCTGTAGAGAAACATCATCACTCCAATTCCATGTCTTCTCTTCATCAAATACAACATCTTGGCTAATAATAATCTTTTTGGACACAGGATTGAATAACTTGTATGCCTTGGAAACTTCACTTATGCCAAGAAAGACACATCTTTCACCTTTGTCATCAAGCTTCTTCCTTTTCTCGTCTGGAATACATGCATATGCAATGCAACCAAAAACTTTGAAGTAACCAACTGATGGTTTACGGCTGCTCCATGCCTTTTCAGGTGTCAAATCATGAACAGCAAAAGTTGGACTTATGTTCAGTATGTGAATGCTCTAGTTTACAGCTTTCGCCCAGAAACTCTTTGGAATGGAACGTTTTGTCTACATACTGCGTACCATATTTAAAATGGTACGATTCTTCCTCTCTGCCACACCGTTCTGCTAAGGTGTATAAGCTGTCGATGAACGCAATGTATAGCACATAAATTTTCAAAGGCTTTTGAATTGTATTCTCCATCACAATCAGTTCGAAGAACCTTGATCGTCTTCTCTATCTCATTCTCAGCAGCCGCCTTAAAGTGTTTGAATGCATTTAAGGCTTCTGATTTCTCCTGTAAGAAATAAACCCATGTTTTTTTGCTGTAATCATCAATGAATGTTATAAAGTACCTTTTTCCGGCGTTGGAAGCTGGAGTTATTGGCCCACCAATATCTGAATGGACCAGCTCAAGAGGTCTTCTAGCCCGCCATGCTTTTGCCTTCGGAAAGGTTTCCTTATGCTGTTTTCCAACAACACAAACTTCACAAACTTTAGTTGGACAGGTTATCTGAGGAAGGCTAGTCACCATCTCTTTATCATGTAGCGTCTTCAAACCTCTAAAATTCAGATGACCATAGCATAAATGCCATAGACATGCTGGAGCATTGACCTTGGCAGAGAAACATTTAGAACCATCACTTTGAATATGTAATGGAAACATTCGATTTGTCGTCACGTAAGCCTTAGCAATTAAGCCCCTCTTTTGGTCATGAATTTGACAAGCTCCTCCTGTAATCTTCATCTCATATCCCTTTTCATGCAGTTGTCCCAAGCTCAGCAAATTGCTCTTCAAACTCGGAACAAAGAAAACACTAGAGATAGTATGGACAATGTTATCTTTAGCCCAAATTTTGATATCTCTTTTTCCCAAAATAGAAACTTTGCTGTCATCTCCAAATCTTACTGTAGTTGTGAAACTTTCATCTAAGGTAGAGAAAATTGACTTTTCTCCACACATGTGATTACTGCAACCTGTATCCAAGTACCACACATTCTTTTGTGTTTTTTCCATGGTTTGACACACCATTAGAATAGCCTCATCATCTTCTTTCTCTTTCTCTGCAAAATTCGCCATTACACCCTTTGTTTTATTCATATTTGTGTAACATTCAGACCTGTAATGACCATAATTGCAACACCTGAAACAGTTGACATTTGATTTGTCGACATTTGAATCATGATTGTATAACTGCCTTCGGCCTCTACTGCTGTTGCCTCCAGAAATACAATATCCTCTGCTGTTACTGCCAGAATCATCATTAGATTTGTTCCCATCTCTGCTACCTAGACCTCTTCCATGGCTGCCGCCTCTACCACGTCCTCGTCCACGACCACCATGACCTCTTACTGCCGGAGAATCACTATTTGTTGAAACTTTCAATGCATGTTCCTCATATGTACTCTGATTGATCTTCTGCTCATGAACAAGCAAGGAACTCTGTAGCTCATCAATTGGAAGCTTCTCAATGTCATTTGACTCCTCAATGGAGCACACAACGTAATCAAACTTTGTAGTCATAGATCATAGGATCTTTTCTACGATGGTCACGTCTTCCATCTTCTCGCCATGGATACTCATCTTGTTTGCAATTGCCATTGCTTTTGAAAAATAATCATTGACAGACTCTCCTTGTTTCATTTGAAGAGTCTCAAAATCTTTCCTTAGTGGTTGCAGCATTGAACGCTTCACCTTCGTTGAGCCCTGGTACTTCTTCTTCATGGAATCCCAAATTTGCTTGGAAGTATCTTTTTGGAGAATGGTCTCCAAAATGGAATGATCAATAGCTTGGAATAAGTAATTTTTTGCCTTCAAATCTTTCAGCTTGGATTCATCCAATTTCTTTTGTTGTAACTCCGTCAACACCACTCCACTTTTCGGCTATACAATACCGGTTTCCATGAGAGTCCAGTATTCTTTAGACCTCAGGAAATTCTCCATCAACATGCTTCAATGATCATAATGACCATCAAAGCGTGGTATGGCTGGCTGCACATAGTTGTCTATAACCTTGTTAGATGCCATAGTAACTTACTGTCGTAAGTGCAATTATAGCTTACTACTTTTGTGGGAACTTTTATGTCAGTCCCCAGTGGGGAGCTCTGATACCAGATGCAGAGTTAAACTCAAAATCCAAACATAGGTGAGAAGAGGTGCTGGAAAGCGTAATTTGTATATTGATAAAATTGAACTTAAATAGAACGTTACATCACCAGACTATGCTAAATTCAAAGACATGACTCCTACTAACTTAATCCATTACTGACACTACTAACTAACTGTTCCACTACTGGGAGACTCCTAAAGACTTGGTAAACATAACAACGTGCAACATGACTTCCTACATAATAGGATAATCAGTTTATTTAAAAAACAACTGTTGTAACTAGATAAAATCTTAACAGATCTTACATGCTAAGATACATGAAGGAGTTCTTGAGCTTCCCTCCAAGAAGCAAGCCATTGATGAAGACCCCTTGCCTAAACGAAGGGGAAAGGAGATAGTCGCTATCATCACATTCTCCGATGACTTGCTCGACGATGATGAATTGTGTCACCCATGGACGAACGACCCAAAACCACCGGAGGCTATTTAGGAACCTTGCGGAAATATGGAGAAGGCCTACAAGTGTAAATATTCAAAACCTTCGAGTTACAACATGCCACAGCCACTCGTTGATGTATGGGGTGGTGGTCCAGGCAACGAAGTGTTCATGTTAGACATGTCGGAAGAATGCTACTTGGGCCTTCATCTGGACACCAAGAAATAACTACTGTAACATTTCATAATCTTATAGAGGTTGAAACAACTATGATGGAGCGATACCTAGGTTTGAAGCAGGGGCCCACAACTTCACAAGTCCTCCAAAGGAACCCAAAGTTCAAGTCACTTTTTGACCAACTTGTCTTTGGACCACAAGCAAGGGAAGCAGCTGCTGTAGCTCTCATGAACATCTCTGCAGAGTCTAATCCTCATTGCTTCACTGCTTAACCACAAAGGTCATTCTTGAAAAGGACAATGCTATTGTCTTCACGGACGAAGACATGGAGGTCCCGTATTCAGATCATAGGAGGCCACTTTACTTAGAGGGAGAGATCAATGATGTGTTTATAAGAAGAGATTTAGTAGACATAGGCTCTTCTGTCAACATATTGCCTCTGTCAGTGCTTATGGCGGCTGGTATTCCATTATTTGAAATAGTGCAATCTCAAACAAGCATCAGCGGTTTCGGGAATAAGAGTGAGGTCACAGTTGGTCACATGCAAGTAAACTTGAAGGTAGGGCCAATCCGGTCACTTACTAAGTTCTATGTGGTAGATGTGGATGTGGCTTACCATGCTTTGCTCGGAAGGCCATGGCTTAACAAGCACAAGCTTGTGGTCTCTACTTACCATCATTGCGTGAAGGGAAGGATTCGGCTGAGACCACTTCGCATACCAAGGAATCAAGCATCGTTCAACCAAAACGAAGCCCATTACTCGGAGGCATAATTCTACTCTGAATGCACAGGTGCCAGAAGCAACCCATCCAAGGATTTGGGACCTACCTACCTTCATGGACCGAAATTCGTGACCTGGCCAATGAGGAACTCATAACAATTGTCGATCGAGAAAGGAAGAGACACTCGGAGGTCAACAACCATGCTTACGATCAGCTCCAATGCTCGAAAGTAATGTTGCCAGATGGACGTACGGTACACCGTTTATGACAGGTTTGGGGGCTCAACTGCATTCTATGGGAAAGCCCCGAGTATGGAGAAGAAGTGATGCAAACGAACAGCCATAATGGTCCCAACCACAAAGCACCCATGCCTTGTGCTTTCCAGGAACCTGAGACAGCACCAAAGCATATGCAAGATGGCTCAACAGCAGTGGCTGAGAAGCTGGAAACAATCAATTTGAGTGATGATTCTTCTACCCAAAGACCCATCTTCATCAGCATTCACTTGACAAGTGAAGAGAAGGAAACGTTGAAGTCTTTACTAAAGGAATTCCGCGACGTGTTTGCTAGGAGCTACTAGGAAATGCCCGGAGTAAATCCAAATTTGGTATGTCACACTTTGAATGTTGAGTTTGGTAGAAAACCTGTTGTGCAGCCAAGAAGGAATTTCCATCCCGAAATCGAAATGCAAATCAAAGAGGAAATTGAATAGCTTTTAGCTGCTGGATTCATCAAGCCAATCAAGCACCCAACCCGGCTAGCAAATACAGTCCCCTTAAAAAAGAAGAACGGTGTGATTAGGATATGCACGGACTATCGATACCTCAACCGAGCTTGCCCAAAGGATGAATTTCCGCTACCCAACATGGATATCTTGATCGACTCAACCTCGGGGAAAGGTTTGCTATGATTTATGGATGGGTTAGTGGCTACAACCAAATAAAGATGTCACTCAGGGATGCCGAGAAGACAGCCTTTCGAACACCATACGAGAATTTCTATTACATTGTCATGCCATTCAGTCACAAGAACGCCGGCGCTACCTACCAAAGAGCCATGACAACGGTGTTCCATAATATGATGGGAAAAAAGGTGGAGGATTATGTGGATGACCTCGTGGTGAAGTAAAAAACTAGAGAAAGCCATCAAGAAGTTCTAAGGAAAGTGCTGGAAAGGTGTCAGTTGTACCGATTGAAGATGAACCCAAAGAAGTGCGCGTTTGGGGTTTCATCCTGCAAATTCTTGCGGTTCCAAGTGCACCAACGCGGCATAGATGTGGATCTAGAAAAGACCAGAGCCATAAACTCTCTTGCACCGCCTAGAAGCCCAAAAGAATTAAAAAGCTTCATAGGAAGATTATCATACATTCGACGCTTCATCCCAGGCCTTGCTACAACAATGAGCATGTTTACTCCTTTACTCAAGAAGGGCAAGCCTTACGAATGGAGCAAGGAGTGCCAAGAAGCCTACCAGCAAGTACAACAATTGATTACCAAGCTACCCACCATGAGAGCGCCCATTCTAGGACTACCGCTCAAATTTTATTTGACTGCAACGAATGCAACGGTTGGAGCTTTGCTTGCTCAAGACGACCATGGCGGGGAAAAAAGTCCTATTTATTATGTAAGTAGACAGTTAAGGGGGGTTGAAACGAGATATCAGAAGACCGAGCTCTTGTGCCTTGACCTTGTTTATGCTGCACAGTGTCTGCGACATTACTTCCTTGCCCACAAGCTACAGCTCATAGTAAAGTCTGACCTCGTAAGATACTTGCTCACGAGGCCGGTGCTATCTGGACGTCTTGCACGCTGGTTGCTACTGCTGTCCGAATTTGATATCACGTGCATAACTCCTAGAGTTATCAAGGGACAAGCCATGATTGATATGTTAGCTTTATTTCCTGAAGTAGAGGAGCCTACCCTCTCCGAAGAGGTTTTGAGGGAGCTGCCGAAAATGGTTGCCATTGCTATAGAGGAGGAACTATGCACCCTATACTTTGATGGTTCTTCCACGTCAAAATGAGGAGCATGTGTGGTACTCATTGACCCTAAGGGGCAGCCCACGTCCCTCTCATTCAAACTAAATTTTCCATGCACAAATAATGTGGCGGAGTATGAAGCTTTTGTTATGGGGTTGTCTACTGCAAGAGAAATGGGCGTGGAAAAGATGAAAGTCATTGGTGACTCAAATCTGGTGCTAAGTCAATTACAAGGGAGCTTTGCTATAAAAGAGGCAACCTTGGCCCCATATCGTACAACTGCCGAAAGACTTATTAATTCTTTCAAGTAGATTGTCCTGGAGCATATTCTAGGGATCACTAACAGGTATGCCGATGCTTTGTCTACATTGGGTTCAAAGCTTTCATTTGTCGAAGGGTAGCCTAATATTACTGTGATAAAGAAATACATGCCAATAATCGAAGCAATGGTCTAATAGGAGCTGCTGGAAGAAGACGATTGGAGAAGGCCAGTCAAAGAAAAACTAGGTGAAGGAAGCAACATTAATGATTTGAAGGACTATGCAATTATTTTTGGATAGCTTTACAAATGTCTCCCAGGAGGTATTTTGACCCGGTGTATAGGTGCAGCAGAAGCGCAAAGGAGGTTGCAAGAGGCTGAAATCCAGTCCAATTGCCCTACGTGTTCCACAACACCCTCTACCGAAGAATCTTTCACCATCTCATTTGCAGAGGATTGAAGGGCACCATACTTAGCATTCTTTGTCGAAGGGACTTTGCCAACCAACTCCAAACATGTTTACAAGCTTGAAAAGATAGTAAAGAGGTACTTCGTAGATGGGACGACTCTCTATCGTAAAGGGTTCAATGGTGAACCGTTAAAATGCTTGGGAGAATCAGGGACGATCCAATCCAAGGCTAGGCCCAAGCTTAATCCTAGCCCAACATGATGTTTTGCCAAGAGAAAAGCCGTACTGGGGTATGTGAAAGGTTGTTGGATGCATCCATACGAGTTGCGAGCCACACGCCACGCCAAGCAAACAGGCAAACCCGCCATGTAGAAGGGTCAAAGCAAACTCATAAAACATGCCGACCCTGTAAGCCCACGGGCATCAACCTGTTAAGTGCAATTTAGTTCAGTCATAACCAATTATAGCACAATAAGAATTCAAGCGTGAATATGTCAAATAAACACACAATGCCAAGCCAAAAGACCGTCATCCTAACTCCAAGCCATGCTACGAGCTTACGTGGGCCTAAGCCCCATAAAAACAAGAAACCTGGGGCTTGCTGAGAAGGTTGTGCTATGGATGGACACGAGTCTTCACAAAGCCTGTTGAGGATTCAAGGGATAGAAGTTTTTGGCTACTTGGGAGCATCCAAAACTCAAGCCCATCTCTTGGGCCCGACCACATGGTCAAGCCATGGAGAGAAAGAAGGTGGTCCAATGCCTTAGAAAAAAAAATATAAAGATCTGGAATACTTTGGAAAAGCCCCTACCAAGCGCCTCGTCAAAAGCCACTTCTAGCAGCTTGACGAAACTTCAAAAGGCTTTAGCTGGCTGCTGAAAATAGGAAGCCTGTACCTTAGGAAAAGGTCCAGCCCAACGCCTTATAAAAATCTAGCATCACATATGGCTATTAGAATAGGTTAAACAAGAGCCATTGCAAATGACCAAAGGAAATTCACAAGATAGGTAGAATACCCATTGGATTAAGGCTCCTACCCTTGTTTCTTTCTTCCTCCATCTTTAGCAGGAAAACTGGAGAAAAAACTGGGTGGCACCTGACCCACATGAAGAGGTCAACTGTGTGAGAACCTTGGAACCCCAAGAGCTTCAGGCCTATAGGTTCAGACTAAGGAAGTTTTCACCAAAATAGGATTAGAAGGAAGAAGGCTAGAAAAGAGGGAGGGAGTTTTGATAAAATAGAAGTCTGAAGTGCCTATAAAAGGAGGCCACTTCTACCCAGTAAAACACACAATCTTCTAGAGCATGACCAAGCTTTTGTCAATCAAACTGGAAATTCTTTCAAGAAGTCCTCTCCTCTATTCCAATCTTTCCATTTTTCTTCTTTAGTCAAAATCTCCCCAAAGCCTTTTCTCCTTTACTTTAAGCCTTAATTTTATTTAGAAATTCATGCTCTTTCTCTCTATGGCTAAATTTGTGAAGTCTTAGTTCCCATGCCACATGCTTCTTAAGCCAAATCACTTATTAATCTGTCACATTTATCCGATTATTGGTGAAAAGAACCCAAAGTATTTTCTAAGGTTTCAGCAAACTTTTCAAAACTCTTTTGGAGCCTGGTTCTTGAACTCAGACACAGGGGAATTTTGTTTGACTTACTCTTACAGCAGCCCAAGCCCATTCGTCAGGCTGCTGGAACAAAAAGACCCCTACAATGACATCTATGCACCAACTTGAGGGAGAGTGTTGGCGTGAGTCCTATTTTAGGTAGGAAATTAATATAAGGATTCTTGTAAATATTGTATCACCTGTTCTGTCAGGATTAGTTTTTATCTTTCACTTGGGTAAAAAGGCATTGTACACTATATATACACCTCCTTTGAGAGAAGAAATATATCTAAGAAATTTACCATATATCCTTATATTTGACTCTCTTAATATCTACACCTTTCTCTAGCTAGAGTTTGAAGAAAATATGGATTTTTAGTTTTTTCCTCAAGGGAAAATTCTCTATCATGCTCAAGTAAGTTAGGCTCATTAGCCTTTTTCTTATAAAATCTTGCTTAAATTTTGACATCTTAAATTAATAATTCTAAAATTTCTTATTATTGTATCATACTCTTTCTTTTGCTCTTCATGTTTTTCCTACAAAAAAGAAAGTTATTGTTTTGCTATTTTATAATCATAATTATATGCCAAAATTCTTGCTCTAGGGCTTTAATAAGTTTTTCATGCCCTCTTCTCATGCTTTCAGTATTAGTTCTAATATTCCAAAAGTTGCCTAAAAGAACTTTTTGTTTATCTGCTAATGATGCTTAAGTACGATATTTTAAAGCAAGATTTCTAACTTCTTGTATTGGAATTCCATTATAATAATAAGTATTTACTACTGCTCTTGCTTGACTACTCATGCTTAATAGATTACCACATTGTGATGGTGTACCATTATTTTTGCTGCCAGAGGATGATGCTCCAAAATATTGCATACATGTTAATGAATAATACAGGATAAGATGTCTACTAAAGTATTGTCCATACCTTTAATATGCTTAAATATTTGTCTAAATCCATTTCCTGTAATAGAATCAACAAAATTAACCCATCTTCGGGCTACTTGTTTATTAGTAGTAATTTTATTATTCTGACAATCTGTTCTAATAGTAAATATCTCATTATGTAAAAACAATGGAAATGCTTTAAGGGAGTTAATGACTCCTAAATTTCTAAGTCAATGGCTGGAAGTTAGCCTGTATACCACTAAATTTACCTGATGCATATCTACAACAAATTTCTTCAGATTTTGGTTATTCTTTATGTTTCTTCTGATATAAAATTCCAACCCATCCTATTGATGATGTGTCTGTCTCAACTATTTTGTAATTATTATATAATGGTAATGCTAAAAGTTTAAGTTGAGTTATATCTTCTCTGATATTTTGAACTAATTTAATATCTTCACTATTAAAATATTTTTGACTTGTTTTACTAGTTCTACCATGCAATGTTGCAATTTTTCTTCCTAAATCAAGAATAAAATTTCTAGCATAAATTAATAATCCTAAAAATGCTTGTAATTGTTTTTATTCTTCTAATTTATCTAGAAATTCTAAAACTTTTTTTAGCTATGGGTTCTTGTAATTGTATAGTTCCCGACTTAATATACATACCTAAAAATTCTATGCCTTATTTTTCAAGCTATACTTTTTTCCTACTTATGACCATACCATTATCGATAAATTCTTTCAAAATAATTTCTAAGTGTTTTCTATGTTCATTTTTATTTTTACTATGAATAAATATATCATCTACATATACACTACAAAAATTATCATACTTCTTAAAAATTTGATCCATCTTTCTTTGAAAGATCAATGGTGCATTCTTTAATTCAAATGGCATAACAAGCCATTTAAAATGTCCGTTTGAATAGGTGAATGTTGTCCATTGAATTGATTCTTTAGCTAATCTAATTTGCCAAAATCTTGATTTACAATAAAATTTACTAAAATATTTACTTTCTTGAATTTTATTCGTAAGTTCATTTTTATTTGGTAACTTATAACTATCTTCATCAGTATTATCATTTAATCTCCTATAAGTATATACTATTCTAGCTTTACCTCTTTTAAGTTTTGAGTGTTTTTCTAAATACAAAGGCTGCTGATCTATGCCTAGTTTTTGAAGGTCTAATTACTTTTATGTTTAAAAATTCTTTTATTTGTTGTTCAAATTCTTGCTTGTCTAACAAGTTACAGGGCATATCTACTATTTTAATTGTTAAGTCTAGATTAATAATGTCTAATTTTGCTAATATCTTATTCTTATTCCAATGTAATTGGGAATCTTCTCCTATAATTCTAATTTGTTTAGCTAATTGTAACAATTCTTCTAAGGTCTTTGGTCTATCTATTTGCATAATCTTTAAAGACTCTATTTCTCCTACAATTGGATGCTCATGGTCAAATATTATATCATCATATTCTAATTTATTTTGTTCATCTATCTTTTCTTCATTTATTTATTCTAATTCTTCCATATTATAGTATTTAAAATTTTGTTCTTCTATGTTAATACTGTTGTAAGACTCTAATATATTACTTTGATCAGTTGTGGTTATACCTTTCGTTAAAAAATGTAATATCTGGAGGTGTATATAAAAATCCTCTTTGTAACTTTTAAGAAATTTAATCATAAGATAAAGGGATATGATCCTACTGAGGATGTAAAGGTAAGGGTAAATTAAACTGTTGTCTTTCTATCCTAATTGGTATATTATTAATACAATGTATTAAATACACAGGTCTTGCATCAAACTGTATTATTCATAGTAGTCTAGCTAATTTTTGCCTAAATTGTTTTGGAACTACATTTTTTGTGCTACCTGTATCTATCATAGTTGTTATTTGAATTTTATTTTCTTTTGACAATTCTAACTCATAATTAATTGTTATTAATAAACTAGTCTTTTGTTTCTCTATGCTAGGGCTATTATTCTTTGATTATTGTTATCTATTATTTCAACTGTATTTATTTCCATTGGTCTATTATTATTGTAACAACGTTTACAAGAAACTATTGTCTTAGTGTAATATTTTTCTACCACTATTTTCTTACATTGATTACATTCTTGAGGCCATCCTAAATTAACATATTTAAATTTCTCATGCTCTTTTTGATAGGACTCGACCCAAATTCCACTTCGGAATCTGCGCCGAACCCTATGCTTGTCCGATACCTGGCAGGTGCCAGGCAAACTTGACCAAATTGCCCATCTAAGTCTCCCCTATAAATTGCTCGTTTTCCAAACTTTTTCACCTGTACAACATGCAATTCAAATATCCACAAACATTTAGCATGCACAATATTAGAATTCACGCAATCCAGAATCCAATTTTGTGGCCTCAGGCCTTACAGAAAACAATAGGGCAATTTCAGAGCATGATAATTAATTTAATTTACAAAGGTAGTACGGATACATGAGAATATCCTACATAGTGGAATAAGGATGAGTGGTGGGTGCTGATTGCCCTGTGGTGGTGCTCTGGTACACGACTACTGCCTTGGGGCGTAAAACATTAAAAATGTTAGTGGACAAAAGAAATTTTTGGAAAATCAGAACCAATTGAAAGCATTGAAAAGTGATAATTCCTTTCCACCTAGGTGCACCCATAATAAATTTGTCAATTCCATGATTTTCTATTTAATTCCCACATTATACCATCAATTCCTTGTGTCAGATAATGCGACACATCATCACATAATGCGACACATCCTCACAGGCCTCGGTAACACAAAGTCCGCGTTCCTCGCAAGACTCAGGGGACACTTGGTCAACCTGAGCCGCATTCCTCACTCCTCACGGTCCTGATATCCCTAAGACTCGTGGGGCAACTGTCAAACGCGCGCTGACTCAACCGAAGGCAACTAGGATGTCCGTAGACATCATTATATCCAAATGCAACATTTTAGATACCTATGGTGGTTTAAAACACAAGCATTTCTTGAAAAAAATTATAAAACTATTTCTCATTCAATCCTTAAATCTTGTTGCCATTTTCTTTTCTACTTTCCAAGGCATTCACATTTAAACATAAATTTTTTTTTATAAAAGTATTTGAACTCATTTTTCTGTCGAGTAAGGCATGCTTCTTCGTCCATTTTTCGTGTTTTAACATCCAAACAAAGGAGAGATTTTCAATATCTCCATGGCTTAAACTTTGCCAAGAAGGCTTTCCTCTTAGCTGGAGACTTAAACCTAACTTTCCTTTGTGGGGAAGCTTGTAAAGGCCGAGACGAATTTGGTTCTTGAGACAAGGAGGCTTGTTCAAACAAAGCAGCTTGAGACACTTGTTCAAACTGAGAAGCTTGAGAGGCTTGTTCGAACTGAGATGCTTAAGATGGTTGTTCAAACTGAGATGCTTGAGATGGTTGAGGAGCTTGGTTAGACTAAGAAGATGCTTGGTGATGATTGGTCCTTTTTTTAACCTTTAATATGATCTGAAAATTGTGGCAGAGTTAGATTAACATGCCTACTTTTGGATTAATATCTACAAATGAAGAATTCCATAATGTTACTTAAATAAAAGAAACCCAACTTACTGGTTGTTTTTGCCTTGATTGTGTAGAAGATGATGCTTGTTTCTGCCTTGATTGTCTTGTAATTCTCTGAGTTGATGTATTGCCTTGATATGCTATCTTCTTTTGCCTTTTTGATGGTACCTGGCCAACAAACATCACTGGGAAATCCATATTAGAATGCCAAACATACAAAACTTTTAAAATCACATGCTCTGAATATACTTGGCTGCTACTTCATGCTTCATTTACCCTTAGACTTTTCCTCTTATTATGGCCTGGTTGCTTACATATGGAACACTTGATTTTCAAATTATACCTTGGAAAATGTTTAGCTTTAGGATTCGAGCTTGGAGATGGTTCACAGGTTGAGCTTATCCTGGTTTTCTTTGGCCTCCCTAGCTGCTTATGAAACTTAGGTGGCAACAAAGGTGGGAAATTTGTTTTAGCCCGCAAGTCTTGGCTTGCCATTGGATGAACCATGGGTTTGTAAGCTTTCATGAAGGCCTCTTTTTTGTAATAATCATGGACATAGCTGATGTGATTGCCATTTAACTGCCCCATGGCAGCATAAGCATGCTTACATGGGATCCCAGTTATATCCCATTGCCTGCATGAACAACTTCTGTTTCTCAAATCAACTACTACTTGAGTTCCTCCAAAACACTTAACCTCATATTTGCTTTCCTCAACAAGACTTGGAATGCACCAAGCTGACTGCTGCTTAAGCTTCTCAAGAGTTGCAAAAACTCTTGGGCCCACATCATAAGCCCATTTCTCCATAACTTCTCTTTTAGTTGCCATCAACAACATGATGTAATACCTGATCCTCTCAAGAATTATTATAATAGGCTTGTCTCTAACATCAAGGATAGACCTGTTGAATGCCTCACACATGTTATTCAAGAGAATGTCACACTTTGAGTGTGTTCTAAAGTGAGATCTACACCACTGCATTGGATCAAGCCTTGACAACCAATCAAAAGTTCGTTCTGACAAATCTTGGAGCTTTTTCATCTCTGCTTGAAACCAAGGTATAGTTGTACTGTTGTACTTCTTGCAGCAGCCTTTATATGTTGTTTCAAAACTAATCCTTTATGGCCAGCAAGTATAAAATTAGCATGCAGATATTTAAGGCAATGCCTATGCTCAAAGTTTGGGAACATGTCACCCACTGCATCAATTAAGCCATTTTGTCTATCTGTAATGAACACATACCCATTGCTATTTTCAATGCCAAGATCAACAGCTAAGAGTTCCAAAAACCAAGTCCAAGTTGCATAATTCTCAGCCTCTGCCACTGCATAAGCTATTGGATACACGCCGTTGTTAGGATCAACACCAACAGCAGATAGTAATTGCCCAGGGTGTTGCCCTTTGATGTGACAAGCATCCAAACCAACAACTGGCCTCAAAGCATCAATAAATCCTTTCTTTGTAGCTGCCAAGCATATATAAATCATTTCAAATCTAGATTTGTCACCCTCCAAATTGGACTTAATCTTTACATAGTTCCCACATTTGTCCTTTTTAGCTTCTCAACATAATCCCAAAGAGTCTCACACTATTTTGTGTAAGTCCCCTCACTTACAGCAGTTGCCTTTTGCCCTGCTTTGTATATCTATGATCTTGAAACTATGACACATAAATCTTCATTCATCCTTTCTTTAAAAGCTCTTACATCCCAATTTATTATTCTAGACAGTTGTGTTGCATTCTCTCTACTAACCATGATGAGTTAGCATGGAGATTGCATTTAACAGTCCCACAAGTGTGCTCCTCTTCATAACTCTTAATTGGGACCATGTTACTTCCATTTATAGCGGAAGTATAAACAAACCATGGACATTTTCCATTCTTGATCCCATCACAAAATCCTCTAACATTATCTTTGTCCTTCTTGGATAACTTAATCTTCCTTCTATTGAATACTGAATAGTTTCTCACTGCTTTCCTAAATACATAGACACTAGGAAATCTTAGACCAAGCTTAAAGATTGGGTTATTCAAATCTGTTTCAAGCCTAAAATCTTCAAACTTGGGCAGTTTCCTCTTCCTTTTTCTCACAGGCAAATCAACCTCATCACATCAGCTACAATCCAAGCTATTAACATCACTTATATCCATATTGTAACAACCCGGTCCTTAATTAATATTTAATTATTAATTTATTATGGTAAAAGACACTTATACCCCTAGAATATTTTATTAGTTTAAAAGTTGACTTTTTGACCGGGAATGAATTTTGGAATTTTAGTTGTATCATTGCGTAGAGCGCAGCGAGATGAGTCCGTAGACACGTAGTGGACTCAAATCGGAGTTGTAACGAAGGAGTTACGATCAAAAGAAGTTCAGTGGCATAACCGTAAATATCTCGAACTTCAGTTTTTATAAACCCAGTTTTCTTCTCCTCCTCCAGTTCGACCAGCCGAATTTAGGAGAGGGTTTCTCTCAGCTCCGACCACCAAATTGAGCAAGATGAGTGCCAAACGAACCACCTCACTCCCCTCTTTCAGTATTAACCCATCCCAGCCGTGATCCACCGGTGTGGACGCCGGAAACCGCCACGAAACAGGGCGGTTTGGACAGTTTTTGATGGAATTTCACGGAGCTCGTTCGGACACCTCCGGCCACCAAATGGGACGAGTGAGGTATGGTTTTCTAGCTATTTTCCATGCTCTAGCTGCTGGTTGGGTAGGATTTCAGAGATTTCAAGCGTAGATCGTTCGATTTTTTTAAGTTAGGTTTCAGCAGACTTTCGGGTCACTGTTCCGGCCACTTCCGGCCAGTTTTTGGGGTAGGTCCAAGAACAAAAGTGGTTCCAAATAGGGTGTTTTACCTAGGGTAGGAGTCTTGAGTCGAGATGTTGAGATTTTCCGGAGAAGCGTTATCGCTTTAGGCACCACGCGCTGCCGGCTCGTGGGTGGCACGTGAGCAGTAGGGTGGGGACCATAGTCAGTCCTAGAATGATCTCCTAGTCCTCACGAGCGTGTAGGATTTCGCGGATCTTAATTTGGATATCGTTTGAACCCCGAACGGGTCTCGCCTACTGTGCGATTTCCGGGTTCAATACGTTTGAACTGCTGGATCATAGTTAATTCCAAGTATGTTAATCTAGACTTTCCCAGGATCGTATAGTATTTGACGGATCGTAAAACGGAGTCTCGGATACTCTAGGAATGTCAGCCCTAGAGTGAGGTTTACAGTTAAACAAACCAGTTACAGGTCAGGAACAGAGGAAAGAACTACGTGTGGCTTGATCCCTCAAAAAGGGTACGTAGGCAGCCTACAGTTATCAGGCGCAGCCACGAGTTAGGGGCTCAGGGTTTATGTTATTGTTTTCAGGACATTTTGGTCATTTACGACCCACGGTTACCAGGTGTCAGTTTTAAACAGGTTTCGACCCGGATTCCAAAGTGGAAATTGGGTCAGGTCGTTTCACATATCATCTGATTTCTCTCTTTCATCTGCAGCTGGATCAATATCTAGAGCATTGTGGTCAACAAAGTTGTCAAATGTTCTATCATCCTTCTCCAGCAAGCATTATTGATCTTCGCTTTTCTCATAAGCACTGTCACAAAATTCAGGGTCTTCACTATCTTCACTCTTATTTTTAGCCCTTTTGCCACTCTCCCTCTTCATATATAGTCTCATCCTCAACATTTATACCATCTGGAACAGTACCTTCATCGCCCTCCTCTTCCACATTTATACCCCCAGGAACAGTGTCTTTATCACCCTCCTCAACCACATTTATACCATCAGGAATAGTACCTTCATGCTTATCCTCAACCACATTTGTACCCTCAGGAATAGTACATTCATCACCCTCTTCCTCCACATGTATAGCCTCAGGAATAGTACCTTCATCACCCTCGTCCTCCACATCAACAACAATGCCATCCTCCTCATCCTCCTCATACATACCCTTATAACCAGGCTATTCATATTCAGCAATTAGGTTTCTTGCAATAGGACCTTTGTCCCTCCAAGCCACTGCAGATTCATCCACATTAATAACAGTGGGGTGTTCTAAATAAATGACAATCACTCTTTGAAAGCTAGGAGGCACCAAATTACACCAATCAAGTAGTTGAACATCATCATCTGAACACACTTTTTTACCATTTTGTATCCTTGTCACAACCACTTGGTCATGGTGCCCAAGCTCTTTTGCATATGCATATATCTCTAACAAATTTATGTAGTCCAGAAGACACCAGTCCAAATAATCAACAGACCCCCCACATAAAACCACCACTCATTGAGGTTTAGAGATTTTACCATTCTACCTCTATAATGTACTTCAAAGGTGACTATTCCTTTGTCATTTGCACACAACAAAAAAAAAAAAAAAAAAAAAAAAAAAAAAAAAAAAACCACTTTACCTAGTCATATGTATAGTTTAAAAAGGACAACACAACCACCAAACTACTAGTAAACAGACATGGAGCAAGATTCAAACGCAAGTAACATGTTTAAAACACTAAAACAACCCTTAAACAATTAGTAAACAAGAAAACATAACAGCAACACATAGGGGACCACAACAAATTTTTATTCCCGCCTAATCAAACTCAAGACCTTTGGACCCGACCTAACAAAGCTAGTAGACAATAAAGAAGCTTAAACCTAGACCACACTTTACAAATCTATCGCTTTCGTAGATTCCATTTCAAAAGCAAAGGGCCAATTACTGTACTTGGGTTGAGAACCACCTTTCTCTCTCGGCACCGTCATTTTCCTTTTCAATATGTCCAATATTCGTGCAATCCCAAGATTTTGATTCTTTTGATTTCACTCTTCTGCAATATTTTCTTCTTCTCAGATGTTCGAATCTCTCTCTCTCTCTCTTCAATTATACAGTCAAAACCCTAATCCCCAAATTATATCGACTAAGAATGGGGTTCTTCTGCTAGACTCTACGACTCAATCACTTAGATTAGGATTTTCAATGCCTATGGGGTCCACTATGCCACGTAGTATGCTGACTACGATCAGCAATAGACCGCCGTGGGTTCTTTTACCACAATGCCCCTGCCGCATCAGGCAATTAAGTGGGCCATTTTAACTTTGAGGGGGTTAAGTGAGGTTTCAAGGGGTACTACATTAAATAAGCCATAAATATACACTGGTATAACAAAATTAAATAATGAAGTGCAACCAAAAAAATGAAAATTGAAAAAAAAATGAAAGAAAAAAAGAAAAATTAGACCAACAAAAAAACTGAAAAAGAAAAAAAGGAAGAAAAAAAGAGCAATTAGACCAATGGTAGGGATGGCAAAAATCCCCGCGGGGGTGGGTCTCCGACCTTAATGGGGAGAGACTTCGTGGCCAACCGGGTATCGGGTACGGGGATCCCTGAACTTGAAAAATCTCCGACGGGTATGGGGAGGGGATGATATTGGTGTCCCCATCTTGGAAGCTGACCCTAAAATATATATGTTTATATTTGAATAGTTGAGTTGAACTTTATAGTTAATTTGGATGTTTTGAATGATAATTTAATATGAAACTTAATGTTAAAATGTATGATAAATATTTTTTTATGCATAAGAAATCGGGGATTCGGGGAGGGTATGAGGGACAGTCCCCCAACAGGGATGGGGACGGGGATTCCTTGAAACCTATTAAACGAGGATGAGTTCGGGGACGAGGGCAGGGATGGAGTGTAATAACCCGATCATAAATTAATATTTAATTATTAATTTATTCAAGTAAAAGACAATTTTACCATGGGAATATTTTAATGGTTTAAAAGTTGACGTTTTGTTTGGGAAGGAATCTAGGGATTTTAGTAGTACCATTGCGTAGAGCACATCGAGATGAGTCCTTAGACACGTAGTGGGCTCAAATTGGAGTTGTAACAAAGAAGTTACGATCAAAAGAAGTCTAGTGGCACAATTGTAAATTTTTCGAAGTTCAGTTTTTAAAAAACCCAGATTTCTTCTTCTCTCATACGTCCTCCAGGAGCAGCCAATTTCAGACAGAGATTTCTACTCTGTCCAGCCACCAATTTCGGTGCCACAATTTGCAAACTCTTCATCTCTCTCTCCTCTTTCTATACATATCCATATCTAGCCTTGATTCCAAGCGACTAAACCAGAAATTCGAGCCAAAACCGAGCCAAAATCAAGCCCAAAATGGACTGTTTCGAAACTGGAAATTCCGATGAGTTTTCCGGCCAACTCTGGCCACCCCAAGTCGTGTAATCGCACCCAAAACACTCCCCTACATTCCCTTTGTAATTTCCCTCAAAGACTCGACCCAATTTCAAATAGAATTGGCGAATTCAAACTAAGAATTTTCTAGGTTTTTCAAGAGACAAAATCATTCGTTCGAGGGCTTTAACGGTGGAATTCATCTTTGGTGTCAAGGTTGGGTTTTTGTGCTAGAATGATCCCCACGTCTTCCCGAGCACGACGGTATGCTCGGATTTCAATTTGGTTACTGTTTGACTATTGATGAGATATCGCATATTAGGCGTTATCCAGGTTCAATATGTCTGGACTGTTGGATTGACTTCATTTTCAAATATGTTAATCTAGGCACCTCTAGGATTGTGTAGGAATTCGCGAATAGAGAATCGGAGTCCCGGATACTCAGATTCAACAATTCAAACTTTAGGTAAACGGCAACCGTCTGATTGTGCGATCGCGAGCGATCCAACCGTTCGATTTGAACCAAACTTGCAGGACAGGTATATTAAACCTTGTTGAACCCGTAGGAACTTTTGGATTGGAAATTGGAGGTCATGGGCCCCTCGAGCCCGATTGACCCAATTTAGAAAGTTTGATCCTCAGTTGACTGTGGGTCTTCTGAGGTAGTTTCACCCTCGAGAAGTGCTAGATGACCGTGTAAACGAGGTTTGACGATTTGTGGACTATTTTGACTATGTTTGGATTATGAGTTTGTGTTATAGCGTTTTATGATATTCTTGGGTGTTATTATGATATTCGAAGATTATCTTGTTATTTATTTATTTTTTATTATTATGAGTATTATTAAAGTATATGATTGGGTCATATTGGATTATTCAAATGTTTATGAGTTATTAGGTAACTTCTTTTACTTTCTAAGGAATTGACTTTGTGTTACTGAGGCCTATGAGGATGTGTCACATTATGAGACACAAGGAATTGACGGTATAATGTGGGAAATAAATAGAAATTCGTGGAATTGACAGTACATTACTGGAATCGACGAAAATTTGGTGGAATTGATGAATTACGAATAGGGGTACGCCTAGGTGGAGAGTATTTAAGTTTTGAGATGTTTTAAACTAAAAATTGAGGATTTTATCTTGGTATTTATGAGCAAAGGTTTTAATATATGTTTTCCTACTTAAGAGACAAGGATTAAGGGTTTTCTAAGTTTTAAGGATTTTCTATAATTCATGATTATTTTCTTAAGTGAAGTTTTATTTTACCATGTCATTATACTTGATTTTATATACCCGTTTTGTTCTCCTTGTGTTTTCTTTTCCAATTTAAAAGTTATTCTCCTCTCATTATTTTCTTTTCTTATTTGATTTTGCAAAACATGTGGTAAACATAAAAATTGAATACATAACTTGTCAATAAAACAAAGGGAAAGAACTACATGTGGCTTGATCCCTTGTTAAGGGTATGTAGGCAACCTAGAGTTACTAGGTGCAGCCGCGAGACCAAGTAATTGAAAAGCGGTTCAGTTAAGTTATTTTGAAATCTGTTAACGTATTCATGTTGTTTCAAAAGTTGGGATCAGTTTTAGTTAGCAGAACGATTTATTTGATTTAAAGAGGCATGAGGCCATAAAGATTTGAGGTTTGGTTGCATGAATTCTGTTATTGTGCATGCTGAACGGTTGTGGATATTTAAATTGCTTGTTGTACAAGTGACAAAGTTTGGGAACAGGCAATTTACAAGGGAGACTGTCGAATTTTCGGCAGAAGTCAAACCCTAAGGAATTTTTTTAAATTTTAGTTAGAAGGGAAATTTGATCAAGTGTGATCGGCACCTGCCAGGTGTCGGATACGCACAGGGTTCGACTTAGATTCCAAAGTGGAATTTGGGTCGGGTCTTGTCATGGATAGCGGGGACGAGGATGGTATTGTCATACCCAGCCCCTGCCTGATCCGTTGCCATCCCTATACACTGGGTAGAAAATGAAAACCATAATTTGATGTTTTCAGTTTTCAGTTTTTATACATGAGTTTGAATTTGTTTTCAGAAAATGAATTTTAGTGAAAATGAAAACGACATACAGAACTCGGTTTTGGTAGAAAATTAAAACATAAAATGAAAACAAGGTCTTGAAAACTTTACCGAATGGCCCATAAGTATTCTATTAATCTAATGCACAAAACTATAACCTCAGTGTATGCAATTAATTGATAACAAACTTGGAAGAAGCTTGACCAATTACTAAATATTCATTGCAAAATCAAACCAAAAGACTCAAACTTTAATAAGCAACAGAACAAAAAAGTTGGATATAGCAATTCATGTTTGTGATGAGGAAGTGCATAATCAAGTCCCAATGGCAAATTGTACTAAACAAATACCAATATGAAGAATAATACCTCAAATTTTGATGCAATTGGTATTCCTGAAGTGTATAACCAAAGCATGTTGAAGTAAAAACTTCCTTTGCTTAAAAATGAGAAAAACAAAAATAAAACCCCAAAGCTTCAGTATGGGTGATTGGGTTTATTCTAGAGATAATAATAAAAAAAGCTTAATACCTAATGCGTGTTGAAAGCCTAATCTTCCTCCATGCATATGCTAAAGTATATAACCATAATAGTAAAAATGGATTCATAATATTTGGGAAGATTAGAAACTAATTAGACAAATAGCTGTTTGTTGAGCATGCTACAAATTCAATGCCATCTCATGCTTCATACACAATGGGAAAAAGAATTATCAAACAAAAGAAGGAAAA